AACTCTTTTGAATCTCTTATTGTCTTATTGTAATACTTGGGGCCTTAAAGTTAATACATCAAAAACAAAAATTATGGTATTTCGAAAAAGGGGTGCACTTTTAGCATCTGAGCATTGGACCTATGATGGCCAAGAAATCGAAGCTGTTAATGATTTCAATTATCTAGGTACTATTTTTTAACTATACTGGTAAATTTATTCTAAATCAAGAACATTTAATTGGAAAAGCTTTAAAAATCAATGAACATACTGTTATGTAAATGTAAAGAGTTTGATCTTAGTCCAAAAACATTATGTCAGTTGTTTGATGCCTTCGTTTCACCAATATTAAATTATTCATGTGAAATTTGGGGTTATTCTAAATCTAAGGAAATTGAAAGAATACATTTAAAATTTTGTAAAAGGTTGTTAAAAGTTAGATTAAATACATGTAATACTAGTGTATATGGGGAACTTGGAAGATATCCATTATATATTCATAGATATGTAAGAATTATTAAATTCTGGTTAAAACTTGTAAATACAGACAATATAATATTAAAAACAGTTTATACTCAAGCGCTTGAAGATAGCAATAAAGGGCAGACAAATTGGGTTTCTAATGTTAAAAATATTTTAAATAACTATGGATTTTCATACATTTTTGATAATTGTAACAACATAGACAAGGTTATGTTTTTATCAGAATTTAAATGTCGCCTTATTGATTCCTTCAAGCAAGAATGGTTCAGTAATCTTGAAAAAAGTCCTGTTTTATGTATATATAGAAATGTTAAATCTTGTTTTGAATATGAATGTTATCTAAATATACTACCTAGGTGTTTTAGATTTTATTTTTGTAGATTAAGAATGAATGGTCTTCCGCTTAGAATTCAAACTGGTAGATTTAGTAGAAATAGGATTCCTCGCGAAGAAAGATATTGTTTGTGTTGCAATAATTTAGATATTGAAGATGAATACCATTTTATTTGTATATGTAAATGCTATGACGTTTTAAGAAAACAACACTTAAAAACTTACTATTACAGAAATCCATCAGTATACAAATTTATTCAACTGTTAAACTCAAAAAATAAAAATGAGCTTGTACGTTTATCAAAATTTGTTAAAGAAGCTCTTTCCATTAGGTATACACTTTTAACTAATAATGTCTGTTCATTCTCCAAATGATTTGTTTCCATGCCAAAAATATTCATAATTAATCTTATTTATTTATAAAAGTATACAGAAAATGCACATCTTTTTTCATAGCTATATATATGCATGTTGTTTGTTTGTTTATTAGTTTATCTACTTATATTTTATTATGAAACTATTGAATACGTAAAATGTGATATCCAGATTTTGTTTGTAAATTTTCATGCAGCTAAAATATATGTGAATATAATGTATTGTAGATGATGTACTTTGTACAAGTCTTAATAAAATTTCTGTTCTGTTCTGTTCTGTAAAATCTTTAAGCGACCAAGCTCTGAAGGCATATAACAATTTGTTGTCCGTGTCTAGTAGAATAAAACTAGACATTAAAACTAAATTGTCCCTATTCGACTCTCTCGTTGTTCCAATACTATTGTATGGATCTGAAGTCTGGGGAATATATAACTGCAAAGAAATCGACAAATTGCATCTCCGTTTTTGTAAAATAGTCCTTGGTGTTCGTCCTCAGACTTCCAATGCTGCTGTGCTTGGAGAGCTTGGTCGCTTTCCTTTATCTGTTATCTGTAAAGAACGTGCTCTTAAATACTGGTAAAATATAATGAAACATCCAGGGTCATTAGTACATACAATATTTTGGAACAATGTGCTTTGTTACCTTATAATACCATGTCTACTTGGTCCTCGTCTGTTAAAAAACAACTTGATAGTCTTGGATATAGCTACTTATGAAATTCTCTAAACCTTGATATGAATTATTTGCCAATGTTAAAACAAAGGCTGCGTGATCAGTACGTTCAAACATGGAATGATACAATAATGAATCAATCTAAGTTATATTATTATGGAAAATTCAAATGTGAGTTTAAATATGAAAAGTATCTAGATATTAAATTGTTACAAATGAGCATCAAAGAAAAGAATTGTCTCGTTTTAGACTCAGTTCCCATCTTCTTGAAATTGGAAGTGGTAGATTTGCAGGTATTGATCGAAACCTACGAGTTCACTTAATGTTGAATCTGAATATTATTTTTTGTTATGCTGTCCACTCTATAGAAACCTTCGTCAAAAATATAATGTTAATTATCCTTTTCCATGCATTAATAAATTTACTAGATTATTGTCTTCAAATAATAATAGAACTATTAGGAATATTGCCAAATTTGTATTTTATGCTATGCATTTGAAAAATGAAAAACTTGCAATTATTGCTGCTTCTTAGGTTCTTGTATTATAACTGTATTGTATTACATGTATTGTATTTATGTTAAATGTAAATTGTATTATCTTGGCCATCCTTTTGTATAATGTAAATGGCCAAAGGTATATTGTATATGCCGATTTGCCAATAAACTGAAACTGTTTTAGATTATTAAATTTTAGACAGTTTTGATTTAGTTAAATTAGTTCAATATATACATTTTTCTGATTTTTTTCTGGTTAGATATCGCTTTTCCCGCGTTTTATGATATGCATTCGCTTTTTGTGATCGGCAGTAACTTCGCGGTTTTCTTTACTGAAGTACAGTTTTTGTTTTAACATTACTTTGATCTAGCGCGGACTTTACTGTAATTGACATTAATCCGTTGTTCTAGGCACATCGTTTAGAAATTTGTTTGTCTATTGACTATATTGGTATTTTGACACAGCTTTGAACATCTGTATTATTAATTAATGTACCTCTCTTTTTCATGTTCAATTTGACTCCGGCTGATTTAATAGTAATAACTGTCATTTGTGTTCACAAATTTTGCAACGATTGGGCGGGGTTTGTTTAAATTTCTGTTGGCGCCCCTTATTCTGTTTACATATTTGAACTGAACATTGTCAATGTTTATATTTTTGTCTGGGTTAACGGTATCATCATTAATGATGTGTTCAGTCAAGAAATTTCGCAGGCTTTCCTCACAATTTTCATCGTTTGTTTCTTTTATATCTATAAAAAGGAGGTTATCACGCATACTGTTACATCTCAAATTTGAAACTTGTTCATTTAGTTGTGTACATATTGTGTTCAATTGCTGAACTTCAGTTTTAAAATCTTTGTTTTCTTTTTGTAGGGCACTTATAGAGGAGCTACATGTATACTTGTGTTCATTGAAATTATCTGACAGGTCACTTATGGTCTGACAAAAGGTTTCCATGTCGTTCATTTGTGTTTTCATTTCATGATTTTCACTTTTTAAGCTGGATACTTCGTTTCGAAGGTGTGATATATCATTTTGGATCGTATTTAATTTAGATACACTCTTCTCTATGGATTGTAAACGTGAGTCCATTTTGTTGACAAGTTCTATTAGTTTGGTTTGCATGTCAGTGTTAGTTGCAGTTGACGGGGGTGAAGCTGGTTGTAGATGCTGATAAGTCTGCGATCCTGGATACGGGGGTGCGGGAAAGGGTGGAATTAAGAACGGATACCTGTATTGTCCATTTGGAAATTGCTCGGAAGGTTGGTTGTTCAAAGGCTGATAGCATGGCGGTAAATATAAATCTTGATTTAACACTTGCTCATTTAAACTTCTTTTATTTTCATTCTTAACATAAAACAAAAGTGCCGCTCAATCACACGTGCGCAATATTAAGAATGTTATGCAGCCAAGAAAACAAGAACAGTCATGTGACACATTTCTAATTTGTATTTTGCACGAGAATCACGAAGTTGTCGGAGTAAGCGTCTTCATTGTTAATTACATAAATTAATTATATTAAAACAGCTTTTATTGAATAAAAGCACATGAAAACCAAATATTTTATTACCAAAATTACATTACACATTGTAGATAAGTTAAACTTTGTTATTTATATAAACTGGAAAATTATGCGAAAACAGCTTTTATTGAATAAAGACACATGATAACAAACATATTTTATTACAAAATTTACAAACACAGTGTAAATATGTTCACATTTTAAAAAATTTTAACGTGGAAAAGAATACTAAATCAGCTGTTATTGAATAGAAACACTGAAGACATCATGGAGTTAAATATAATAAGATTGTTATATATCTGTGAAAACATATTTAATTACCAAAATTACAAAAAGTTTGTTATTTCTATAGTCAGAAAAAAATACAAACATATCCCTTTTTATATATAATATTTTTTTATTATTACTATCTTAATAATTTTTTTTTATTTCCAAAATAACATAACACATTGTTAACAAAACAAAGTGACAAAAACTACATGTAGTAGTTTCCAATTGTGAGGGAACTCTTATGCACAGTAATGTTGTTCACATTGTTAGAGAATTAAAGGATTATTCCGGCGTCAATTAAATATTTCTACAACAATCCTAAGATAAAAGGTGTGACAAATGTTTTAGATATGCGTTCTTTAATCAATTATCATATATCAATTTTCGTAATAAACACATGTTTTTGCAATACACGTACCCCCCCCCCTTTTTAAAAAAAATATTTGACATATATATAATATATTTATAAATATATATGTACACAGATATATTTAGCTCCATGATATATAAATATTAATTGTCATATATGTTTACGATTAATTCAATATTTATTTCAACATATAATTACTTTCTTATAACCGTATGTCCCAGCTATTATCATGGATTTATATTAGATCTACAAAGGTCTGTGCTTACAACAAGCTTTATTCAGTATTGAACTTGATTTATCCTTTTTTTGGCCTTGATACAGTGTCAAACATATATGTATCTACTGTACAGAGTATATTGAATCCAATTTGCCTCTATTCTGCTCTAGAGATAATTTGGATGAACTATGTACAACGTGATGCTGATTGGACCGATTTGACTTTAAACCGATTCGACTTGCAGTATACAGACTTTAGCATGAGCCAAAGGGAAGTAACTCTGGTTTAACGCAACTTGAAAAAAGCATTTTTCGAAAGGTCATAGAATATCTTTATCTCAATGTTTCAATTAATAACTGCTTGTCAGTGAAAAGAGTTCCATTATAACTTTTGGTAATTTTGTTTTCTATTTCATATTGATGTGATTTATTTTCTAGTCTGACAATATTATACTTACTACGCATTGCGGTGATTTAATGCTGGAACCAAAATGTCTTTCATGTGTCTTCTTAAATATACTGGCATGCGAGCAGTTCCCGTACAAAAATCACAGTTACTTAAACATTATTTTTTATTACGCTCACTCACCACAATTTGAATGTTACACATCAATATTCAGCTCGTCACACAAATCATGGAAATTCCACGATGTTCTAAACATAGAATAACCCTTACTTATGAGGCCTCATATGGGGTACCGAAATTATCCATTATTTTGTATGAAGAGAAGTAGTTCGCGTACATAAAATCTAACCAATTATAATTATACAATTTTATTATATCGGACCTATTTTTCATTTACAATTGTTGAACAGACCATTATCTAAGAGATGTAATTCAGGAAATAGAGCGTAGACTAAACGCGGGTATCAATTACCCGGTACCGTTACCCCAACGCATTCACGTGCAATAGCATGCTTGTATGCATGATATTTAACGCATCAAAGCCATAAAATTATTATATATAGTAATATTGGTCAACATTCTGATAATTAAACAAGTTTACATCACATTGCCTACTTATTTGTAAACAGGTGGTATTAGTGGAAAACCCTTTAACAAGCCTCGCGTGTAAGTATTTTTGCGCATGCGCGCAAGGACGAAATCCCCCAGAGAAAACAAGGTCACGTTTTGACGACGCACAGGTGAAAGTGATTTAAAATGAGACTTTATATACATACTGCCGAACTGACACTTAGATTTTGTCTCGTTTATGTATCTGTTTGATTTGAAATGAATTTTTGAAGAATGCAAGTAAAAATCAAGCGTTTAAATGAAAAATACGGGTACTGCTTCTGTACGGGAACTGCTCGCATGCCAGTATGGATAAATAAACTACTTAACGTGAGTAATTATTGCATATTTTTACAGTTTTTAGCTCGACTTTTCTATGAAAAGGGGAGCTATCCTACTCGCCCCGGCGTCGGCGTTGGCGTCACACCTTGGTTAAGTTTTTCGTACCACCCCACTTTATTTCAGAAGTATTACAAGTATGGCTTTGAAACTTACCATACTTGTTCACCATCATAACCTCCATCTACAGACAAGAGTACATAACTCTGTCAAGGTTTTTGACAGAATTATGGCCCTTTTTTGACTTAGAAAGTGTATTGAGCTTGGTTAAGTTTTTTGTACCACCTCACTTTATTTCAAAACCATTGGAGGTATTGCTTTGAAACTGACCATACTTGTTTACCATCACGACCTTCATCAACAGACAAGAGGACATAACTCTGTCAAGGTTTTTGACAGAATTATGCCCCTTTTTGACTTAGAAAATACATTGAATATGGGTAAAATCCACTTATTGCCTTAACCCTTTGAGATATTGCTTTGAAACTTTTAATGCTATTTCACATCATTACCCCCATCTGTACGCAAGAGAAGGTAACTCTGTCAAGGATTTGTTTTAAAAATTAAGGCCTTTTATCGACTTAGAATCTTGGTTAAGTTTTTAGTACCAGTCCACTTTTTGACTGAACTGTTTGAGATATTAATTTGAAAGTTGGAATACTTGTTTACAATCATGATTCCCAAACATGTCCAGGAGAAGGTAATTCTGTCAAAGATTTTATTTGAATTATGGCCCTTAACTGTCAATGTTTTGTATTATAGGCAAGCACTAAAAAACTTAAAAAATCTAAAAAAATTCATTCCTATCCACTTGTTCACTTTACCATAAATTATGTCATATAAACATTGCTGTAATATTCAAGGGTATCAAACAACTAGTTCACTTTAAAAATACAGAGATTCTTGTATTGCCTTTTACTGCAAAAACTTTTTTTATTGGCAAGCAATAAAAAAGTCGAGCGCGCTGTCTTACGGACAGCTCTTGTTGGAAAATATGCTTCTGTCTTTTATGCAATCAATTGCTTTTTGTGATAAAAAGCATTTAAGTTGTGATTTACCGGTAAATTCAAATCACAGGAACTTGAAATTCTATCAAATAACCAATATAAATGATAATATCCAAATATACCCCCTATATACTATAAATAAACACAAGGAATGAAACGCCTTTTCCCCACCCCAACATAATTTACGCCGAACAAATCAACAAAACAACGGATCAAAATATTCTATCTGGCCATTTCGATAAACAATACATAAATGCATCAAATACCACCGATAACTTTTTTTAATTGCGTAGCTATGTAGGAATAATTCAACATTTTCTGATTATTTCCCACGATCTGAGTTTGTCGCCGACTCCATTTCGTGACGTCACTGGATGTTGATTCGAGGAGAATAATATTTATTAAAATTATTTTTAACAAGTTCCAAAAATAACAAGTTTGAAAGCAAAATATTGTCAAACTAGAACAAATGACTGATTTCTTTCTTACGACATGGCTGAATTTATTTGCTGGGCCATATCAAATAGAGTACTCAAATTTTTTTTAAAACGAAAGTACTGTTTCAAAGATTTACCGTTCTTGTTTGGGGTTTCCCTTTCAAATGTATTTATAAAAGTAATTTGTTAAAAAGGTTTTACATGAAGATGTTTAAATCTATTTACATAGAATAATTTGTATAAAAGTTTTAAACATACCTGTTATTTTTTGGAACTTATTAAAAATAATTTTAATAAATATTATTCTCCTCGAATCAAAATCCAGTGACGTCACGGAATGGAGTCGGCGACAAACTCAGATTGTGGGAAATAATCAGAAAATGTTGAATTATTCCTACATAGCTACGCTATTAAAAAAAATATTGATGGTATTTGATGCATTTATGTATTGTTTATCGAAATGGCAAGATAGAATATTTTGATCCGTTGTTTTATTGATTTGTTTGGCGTAAATTATGTTGGGGTGGGGAAAAGGCGTTTCATTCCTTGTGTTTATTTATAGTATATAGGGGGTATATTTGGATATTATCATTTATATTGGTTATTTGATAGAATTTCAAGTTCCTGTGTTCAAATCGACTCGAGAAGCATGTTGATTTGTGCTATGGGAAATTAGCCAGTTATGGAAAGACTTCGCATTTTCCAATAAACGTCAAAATGTAAAAAAAGAAAATGGGATGTCTGTCAATGAAGGACTAAGAAGGCACTTACAAGGGCATCAGCAGAAGATCTGAAACATATACTCAACATCACTTATTCCGCGTCATTACTTATTTCACTAACAAGATTAAAATTTAAGCTGGCACCAACAGCCCTTTTAAGGGCTACCCTTTCATATTGCCACGGGTTACTGTACACTTATGTTCGCATTGACTGCTGCACAGTAACCTTCTTTTGGCTCAAAATTTATATCTTTGGCTAATACTTTGTCGAAATTGCATGGAGGTAAATTATCACCACTTTTTGCCTCAAAATTAACTCTTTAAGGGCATAACTGTTTACATGTTCGGGTTACTCAACAGCGAAAACTGCATTTTGTGTCCTTACAGGCAGATGGACCCTCATTAAGCATAGAATACTCACACAGAATAAAAGTAAATACTAATACTGTACATGACATTTTATTTGTGAGAGTTGAAATAAAAAGTTGATAGTGTTAGTTAAAAAGAGAAAGTATACAGCTAAAACAGATAAAAACAATAATTTCATTTCAAACACGGTGGGGATGATTGCCTTTAATCATAATTATCCCTGTTTCTGGTATTTTAACGGTTTCTTATATTAGCAGGGCATGCCTAATATTGATGGAATTGACGCATGTGACATGTACTGATATCTAGAAATGAATCTACTTTGCAATGCTTCACTCTGGTTTTGTCTTTGTCCTTAGCCCTTAACTCCCCCAAAATATCACATGGGAGTTCGCTCCATAGAACCCCTGTCTAAACTTGTTTCACACTTGCCTTATGCTAAAACTTGATTTCAAATTTGTATTTCAAACTGTCAGCGGACATGTTATGACATCACCGTAAAATAACCTGTTCCATGGTTAATATATTAATTATACAAAAAAAACAACATCTGTTTTGTTTGTTTGTTTCATTTTAAGCCTTTTTCCAACAGTATTTCAGTCATATAAGCGGGTAGTTTCCTAACCATCGTTCCTGGAGAGTTACACCAGTACTAGACTACCTTCCTCTGTGCTAAACTACCAAAGCATCTCCGGGGATCGAACCCACGCCAGAGAGGTAACTGGATTAGAACTCTAACCCCTCGATCACGGAGGCGCTCTCAAGAACTGTTTCTCATATCATTCAACATAAATATCTAAATTTAGCAATATTTTTCAGGACAAGTATAAGTTGTGCGCTTAGCAGATGAAGTAAAAAAAACATTAAATATACATCTGTGTTAAACAAAGCCTTTACAATGCGTTTGGAAGACCAAGGTAAAGAAGTGAAGAAGCATGGCTTTTTACGTGGCACTCTTATGTGGAATACTAGAAATAAGATTATTGCAGGTGTTGTGGCATTTACACTTACGTTTGACATTTGTATTATGTAAGTATAGCCTGAATTTTATCATGTTTTTAGTATTAGAAACATCAGATGTTGACACTATGCTTACAGATAAGTTTTTGTGATGGCAATGTAGCATTAGTTTGTTGTCTTGTCATTTGTTGTTGTCCACAATTTCTATTAATAATACCTCCTAAACAACAATGCTGATTTTGACCAAACTTCATAGGAATGATCCTTAATTTTTGTCCTCTGTAAAGTTATATACATTTGTAAATGGTTCCAGTCTGATTCATAAGTAGGCTAGGTCACAAGAGCTAAAGTAGGCTTAAGATAAATCCTACTCCTAGAGCACCCTGGGAATCACCTAGTTTACTTACTTGTAGATTAACACTGGAAAACTTATTTTGCATGTAGAGTTGCCTTCTCGACTTCTACAGTGGATTCAGAATTTTGGAAAAGTAACTCCATTGAAATTACGATAGGTCATACAACTTACTGTAAATATATATCATAATCTTGCAAAAAAGTCCTGCCAAAATCAATGTACAATGTAAAAATTAAATCATATGAGGTAGCATTGTTGAAGTGATCTGATTTACATAGCCAGGGATATTGATGGGAGTGGTAAAGTCTTACACCCTACTTTTGATTCATCTCATCTGATGCAGATTTACTGGTATGCTTCTATGCTTGCATAAGTGCTAAGTATATCTTACATCGGTGGTGGTGTTGATAGTTTACCCTCCAAATCATGACAGAAAGCCATATTAAATCTACTAGATTACAGTTCAGCCTTTGCATCAACCAATGCTAGTTGCCTTCACTTTTGCACTGAGCTGATAACTTCTGTATATGCGAGAGCAGAGATACAGTGCAAATAACTGTGAAAAGGATTTCATGATAAATCACAATGAAAGTGACCTGCACTGTTTGGGATTCAAACCAAAGGCACCTGATTTACAGTACAACAGTCTATTGAGCTGACCAGACTGTCTTACCTTCAATCTCCTCTACCCATTGCCATTCTTGTTTTGTAAGATAATCATGTGTGTTGTCATTAAAGTCCACCATTTTGTATGCTATTTTTTTACGTCTATATCAAGCACATTTTGACAAGCTAATTTATTAGTATCTCCGTGATGTCATCATAGTATTCTTACCTCTTAGTCTTTTTTCTTAGAAGGGTTTTCAATGACAAATGTTTGAAATAAAGATGTTCTTATTTTTACTCATATTTTGCACACTGTATCATCTACTATCACTTCTTGATATTTGAGATTTATTACATTACTTGTATTTTTCTATTATATGAATGTCCTTGTAGGCTAGCATGTAACAATATCAGCAAAAGTAAGGAGTTAATATGAGCCGCATCATGACAAAAGCATCATAATAGGTTTGCGACCAGCATGGATCCAGACCAGCCTGCGCATCCGCGTAGTCTGATCAGTATCCATGCTGTTCGCTATCAGTTTCTCTACTTGTTATAGGGTTTGTAAGCGAACAGCATGGATCCTGATCAGACTGCGCGGATGTGCAGGCTGGTCTGGATCCATGCGGGTCGCAAACCCATTATGTTGCTTTTGTCTTGACGCGGCTCATATATTTGCTTGTTTTTAGACTGTATGCAAGGAGTAGACAGGACATTACTCGTGCCAAACAAGAAAAAAGAGTACAGGAAATGAATGAAGACAATTTAAGATTTTCAGAAAGAGTTAAAGCTTTTGAAGACAGGAAAAAAACACTTGCAGCTTTAAAAGATAATTCTTAACATACAGACAGTAGATAGGTATGAAGTTAGAAATGGTGATTTATACTTGTAACAATCATGCTCATCTAAATTTAAAAAATCAAGTGTGTTCTGTTTTACAATTCTGACCTATTTTAGTATTTGTGTTTTGTGAAGTAATCATGAATTTTGATGTAAAATTGTGTGAATTATTACATTAAGATTTTTATTTGTGAACATCATGTGTGTGTTATCATGTCTGCTAGTGGATTATACTTAAAAAGTGTGTCTTCAAACTATAAAGAAATGATAACAATTCAATCAGTGGTATAGTGATAGTGGCCTCTATATTCGAAGTAACAAAAATATTTTAAAGTGATTCAGAGAGTTCAACATGCAAGGTGCAGATAAGACATTACCTAAAAAGGGAACAAAGCTTTCCTTGTCCAGAAAGACCTCAAAGAGTGAACTTTCATCTACCAGCACCAATAAAGGAATACAAAATTTGTTGCGCGGAAATGTAGATCTGAATGAAACATGTGAGTTTCAGGATCCCCTACAGTTCCCAGGTTGCGGTAATAACAATGCTAAACTTGATATTGGTAAGAGAGGAAAGGCTGTTGCTATAGCAACAAAAGGTAAGGAATTATCATAGATCAGGTACAAGTATTGGTAATACATACATATAATTTTACTTCAACTTTACAAGGTATAAAGAGTCTTTTGAGGTAAAATATCTAAATATCTTGTTATCATCGTCACAATGTATTGTGTACCTAACATAAGCACCAGTTTAAGAATGTACTTGATTGTAGGCAAAAAAATAATTGTTTTTATACCCCCAAAAACGAAGTTTGGGGGGGTATATAGGAGTCACCCGGTGGTCGGTCGGTCGGGCGGTCGGTCGGTCCAGAGGTCCGTTGCATTTTCCTTGTCCGGAGCATAACTTGAAAACTAATGGTTGGAATTCAATATAACTACATACAATGGTCAAGCACTTTGAGAGGAAGTGCAGTGCACAAGAACCATAACTCTATCTCGACTAATTACAGGTTTATTGCCCTTTGTTACTTTTCCTTGTCCGGGGCATAACTTGAAAACTACTGGTTGGAATTCAAAACAACTTCATACAATTGTCAAACACAATAAGGGGGAGTGCAGTGCACAAGAACCATAACTCTATCTAAAGTAATTACAGAGTTATTGCCCTTTGTTGCTTTTCCATTGCTTTTTTTTTTTCCGTTGCATTTTCCTTGTCCGGAGCATAACTTGAAGACTAATGGTTGGAATTCTATATAACTACATACAATGGTCAAGCACATTGAGAGGAAGTGCAGTGCGTAAGAAACATAACTCTATCTTGACTAATTACAGAGTTATTGCCCTTTGTTACTTTTCCTTGTCCGTGGCATAACTTGAAAACTACTGGTTGGAATTCAAAACAACTTCATACAATTGTCAAACACAATAAGGGGAAGTGCAGTGCACAAGAACCATAACTCTATCTAAAGTAATTACAGAGTTATTGCCCTTTGTTGCTTTTCCATTGCCTTCTTTTTTTTGTCCAGACCATAACTTGAAGACTAATGGTTGGAATTCAATATAACTACATACAATGGTCAAGCACATTGAGAGGAAGTGCAGTGCATAAGAACCATAACTCTATCTAAAGTAATTACAGAGTTATTGCCCTTTATTACTTTTCCATTGCTTTCTTTTGTCCAGACCATAACTTGAAGACTAATTGTTGCAATTCATTATAACTTCATACAATGGTCCAGCACATTGAGAGGAAGTGCAGTGCACAAGAACCATAACTCCATTTTGACTTACATTACAGAGTTACTGCCCTTTGTTTCTTTTCCTTGTCCAGAGCATGACTTTAAAACTACTGGTTGGAATTCAAAACAACTTCATACAATGTCCAAGCTTAATAAGGGGAAGTGCAGTGCACAAGAACCATAACTCCATCTTGACTAATTACAGAGTTATTGCCTTTTGTTACTTTTCCATTGCTTTCTTTTGTCCGGACCATAACTTGAAGACTTATTGTTGGAATTCATTATAACTTCATACAATGGTCAAGCACATTGAGAGGAAGTGCAGTGCATAAGAACGATAACTCCATCTTGACTAATTACAGAGTTACTGCCCTTTGTTACTTTTCCTTGTCCAGAGCAGGACTTGAAAACTACTGGTTGGAATTCAAAACAACTTCATACAATGGTCAAGCACAATAAGGGGAAGTGCAGTGCACAAGAACCATAACTCCATCTTGACTAATTACAGAGTTATTGCCCTTTGTTACTTTTCCTTGTCCAGAGCATAATTTGAAAACTACTGTTTGGAATTCAGTACAACTTCATACAGTTGTCAAGGACATTAAAAGGAAGTGCAGTGCACAAGAGCCATAACTCCATTTTGACAAAATACAGAGTTACTGCCCTTTGATACTTTTCCTTGTCCGGAGCATAACTTAAAACGTACTGGGTGGAATTCAAAACAACTTCATACAATGGTCAAGCACAATAAGAGGAAGTGCAGTGCACAAGAACTATAACTCTATTTTCAGTATTTATAGAGTTATTGCCCTTTGTTCTTTTTCTTTGTCTTTCTGGACTTATTACAGAGTAATTCAATTAAACTTCATCAATGGCCAACCACATTGAAAGGAAATGCAACATACATGAACCACAATTATCTTTAATTGCCCACAACCATAACTCTATGTTTCAATTCTATTACAAGGTATTCTGTTACTAGTAACATCCTCATTTCCAAAGCAGACTTGTGGGGGTATTTATCACATTTAGTGATAGTTCTAGTTTACATTAAATATGTAAAGATGACTTTAAAAATGACATGATAAGAATGCTGTATAATGCTTATAGTAACTTTACATAAAATGACAATCAGGATCTTCTTTGGCAGAAATTTATTGATAAGACTGGAATTTAAACATTCTCCTGCAATAACAGTTTAGATTTTATCACATTTTAACAATTGTCCTCGTAATTATTTGGTTCAGCAAATAAATTATTACCAAATGATGATAATGTTTGATGCACCCAAATTGCTACTCTATCATAACAAGACTTTGTATGACTTTGTACTTATGCTTCTATAAATAAAAGGGTTTAAATCCAGAATAATATCTGAATAAGATACATATCAAACTTTATTCAAATAAATGTTGAATACTTTGATAATTATAAACTTTATTGTTGATTTAAACATACATGAACTTAAAGTAAAATGGTTTATATATATGTATAAAGATATTTTAAAATAGTTTCAGAAAAGATTGATGAAGAAAGTAGGGAATCAGTCAGATGCCACTTATGTCATAAGAATTTAAGTCACATGACAGTGCAACGAAGAGAACAACATGTTAATAAGTAAGTAAAATTGTAAATTGTTTGCTGCTTAACCATGTGGAAATAAAAAAACTATATGCTTGTATATGTATATGCTGTACGTATGTTTCACTTAGGTTTAGAAAAATATGAGACTGTGCCTACTAATTAATTATTAGTGATGACCAGGTGGTAAAGGTGTTGGACTGGTTATCTAATGATCACTAGCCGCATGGGTTCAAACCCGGTCAGGGGCAAGTTGTTGTTTCATTGAGCACAAATTTTTACCCTGGTTGATTCCTGGAACGAATTTTGAATTGTGTCTATAAGCTTATAGATTCCTACAGAATTGAGCTAAAAAAGTATGTATAAACCAATCTATTTAGAGTGTTTTTATTCAATTTGTTTACTATTTAATATAAATGTAAAAACAATACTTAAGTATTCAAAGAGCAGTTTATAAAAAAGCAGTGCTGGGTCAGTGAGATTATTTCCTCTATTAGTATCTTCTAAGTTATCATTTATGCATAACTACTTACAGCAATGCTACCATGTTTATGACATCAGTATATATCCATGCTGTCTGACTAGATTCTGTTACATTTGCTAATAAAGATACAGAAATAACATACTTTACAATAAGATAAATCTATAAATTTTATAATAATTTAGCAGCATTACTGTGGGAAAGCTATTCAGTTACCTTAAAGATGATTTTCTTCACAAACTGTTAATAGAAGTTAAGCTTTCTGTTAATCAGAACATGCTGATATATGTGTTGAGTGCAAAACATTCTCTTACCATGTGTTTTGGTCTCAGTTTACTGGTTATGAAATTATTGTGTTTAATGTTTATATATTATTTATAACAGATGTATTGATCAAGTTGAGCTTATAGAGAAGCAACAGAGAGAGGAGAAAAAAGTTCTTGAGGCTGCTAAAACAGCTGTGTTAGACTGTCCTATGTGTGGCAAACAGTTTAAAACAGAAAATGTAAGTATGGTATACAGATAAAAATCTTGGTTTTAGTCATAATAACATTTATATAAACTTAAGTGTTCAAGATTGAATACCACTCAAGCTGGTGCTTGCTTGTGTTGCACTCTTACACTATCTTTCTTCAACAGACTCAGTCAAACGGAACCTGCAAAGTTCATTTAATATTAATTAATAGTTCATTGCTTCAAAGGTATCTTTCTGTTTCCAAATATTTATATATAAATTGAGTAAAAAGATCTGGAAAAAGTGTGATCCCTCGACAGCATTAATCACAACAAAATTACATGTACATGAAAATTGCACATTCGGTTTGATTGAGTCTGTCCATGAGGAATAATGAAAAAATGCAACATCCCTTATGCCCCCGAACACCTAGTCTGCTTCAGCTAGCATTTAAAATTTAAATTATATACAGTTAAAGAGCATTATTGAGTCTAATCAGACTGCAATGATTTTTATGTGCTTTTGTCATATGTCTACCATAATATTACATAGTGCTTTAATCAGTGCTTTAATTAATCTTGACAGTAATAATGACTATCGTTTCAGTGAATCAGTCATTGTCAGATAATACTGGTGTCAACAATTTGTTATTTTGTGTTTAATTTACCAGGGAAGGGTGATGCATTTGAAGAAATGTTGTCAGGAAGTTGGAGTTTCTACAGAGAAGATGATACAGTTAGTGAAAGATCAGGAGCAGGAACGGCAGAAACAAGTTGCTGCAGGCATTGTACCACAACAACTGAGGTAATTATATTGTACATGTTATGTCAATACAAAGACATTGCTTAGTGGTTAAGTTCTTTATCGTCAAATATCTTGCCAATCATGCTGTGGGTTTGAATCTCATTAAAGAATATTTATTGGATACTTTTATTTGAGAAAACTATCCAGCTAGCTATTAACAGAAGTTTGATGATTCTACTACATTTCCCCCTTAAGTCTCAATTATGGAAAAAAAGGCTGCTGAGGTTTTCCAGTAACATTGGAAAGCCAACATATGACCTTTACAGTGTTGGGAGTGACTTAAATAGAACAAAATAATTATTTTAAGTTTGATTTCATTATTAAGTAAATTTTGTAATTTTGGTCATAGAATTATACACATGAAAAGTGATTAATACAGATATTTTGCTCGTTCGTGCCTGAAATAATGCATGGAAGGGCACCTGAGGTCTTCCTCCACCAGTAAAGCTGGAACGTCGCGATATGACCTATACTGTGTCGATGTGACGTAAAACCCAAAACAAACAAAAACAAAATACAGATATTTGTTCCTGTATGAAACACATGTAGCTGCAGAAAGATGGACTATGTCAAAATGTTTGAGCCCTTGAACATGAACAAATTTTGAACTTTGTACTCAAAATATTTAACCTTTGTTATGGTCAAAATATAATGAGAAAGTTTTACAGATTCAAGGTACAAAATCTAGGGAAAATTTATGTGAAATGATATTTTGGTGAAGAAAAATCCAATTTCATTGTTGCAAAAAGCAAAGATTTTTTGATAAATACACAAAAATATAGATTGAAAAAAGAAAAATTGAAATATTTTATATTGTAAGTTTCTATTTTTGTAAAAATTTTAATTTATAAAATTTACATGCCTTTTATATAGAAATTTCAGGCATACCTGAATTTGATTTTAATTATATTTCAGGTCAAAGGTCACCAAATTAGTAGCTCCAAAGAAGCGCAAATTAAAAGAGCCAAAAAGGTATTCCATTGATGTTAATTAATGTTAAAAGTATAATAGAGTGCCCTTTCTGAATGATAAAGCAGCATTACCCTGAAGTGTTAACTAATTAGAGAAGCTTGTATAGAGTTTGGAGACTTTTTTTTATAAAATGTGTCTAGAGTTAAATCATATACCCATAAATGCACAGTGTGTTAACTGGAGAACAGGTATTAGTTACCCTGGCTCCAGTTACCGCACTGCCAGTTGAGGATAGAAATAAAGCATGCTTGTTGATTTTGCTACATTTTTTCTGGTGTTTACTTATTGTGATGACAGGGAAAGGGATTATGGTAGAAAAGTCACTATTAGATGCTGGGCCATTGGTTACTTTTTTCTGGGGTTTCATATTGTGACAACATGGAACATGCTATTTTGCCTATGATACAAAAGAGAAAGAACATTGAAACACTTGGCAATGTTATTAATACTCGGGGGCTATGTCCTACTGTACAAATCAGATAGCCTTATGTTTGGGTGCTCTTTCTTTTACTAAGAACACATGTAAAATGTAAGTGATTAAAAGTTGTTGCAATCTATGAAAGGAGGTATTGTCAACTAAAGTGACAATGTTTTGTAAATAAAGTTATTTGAAGTTTCTGTGTACTGCCTAACTGTCAGAGTTTGATCGGAAATTGAAATCAAAGATAATTTAACTTATTACATCCATTCTTTGTATAATGTAGAGTTTTATTTAGTTTTTATAAAAATATTATTTTCACTGATTTTACTTTATTAGTCAGTTTGAAGAGGATGTACATGTTGCCATGGCAATGTCTTCATCATTATCATCATCAACTAGTGACAATATAACTTCAGCAAAAAGAAAGAAGAACAAAAAAACTCAGTATGTGATTATTTCTTTGTCACATTTCTTCATATTATTTTAACATTTTCTCTTTTGTACACTCTTGTTATTATTGTTTTTATTGTAAATATTACTGAAAGTTGTTTTTCTACTGTTAAGATTTACATACATATATGTTTGAATTGTTCCCATGATGTTGAGCCTCATAGGCCAAATGCTTAAAGTTTCTAAAATCCAATTACTTTCCTTATGTTTGGTTTCTTTATGTGAGGATGCTATCACCCTAGCTTAATGTTAGGATGATATCCCCTTAGCTTAGAGTAGGTTGATGGTTTACTGTGTTTCTGCCAGAAATATTCATAAAGCAGCAGCTCTGGTCTTCCTCCACAAGTTAAAATAAAAGGTCACCATATGACCTTTACAGTGTCAATGTGGCATAAAAACCAATATAACAAACCCTGTAAAGATGATCAGGTTTTATTTATAATATTTTTGTTTCACCCTTACTAGAAAATTAATAAAAAATGTTTGTTTTTCATAAATCTTTGTACATAATTCAGACTTGAAGATGTATGTTTATTGACCACCCTGACAAATGAAGATAGACAGAAGAGAATTGAAGAAAAAGTCAGCAATGTTTTACACATGGTAGTAACATGTTAGCATTTTATTATAAGAAAGAACAGTTATTTAAATAAACACTTTATTTTTAGAATGACTATTCGACGAAAAGGGAGAATTATTACACTCTCTGAGGTGTCAGTGTCACACTTTGGTTAAGTTTTTTGTGCAAGTTGGTATCTCCAAAACTACTGATGGGAAAGATTTGAAACTTCACACACAAAGAATAGTTAAGCACACTGTTCTAAGGACATCTGTTGTACAATGTTATGGAAGCATTGTATTGAGAATCTTACATAAGCAGCTGTTGTCTTGAATTAGGATGTTCTTCCTTTCTTTTGTGTTGTAGTAATTTACAATTGTTGACTACATATTATAAGATACCTGAATGGCCCTAATGTATTTGTAGTTTACAAAAATTTCTTTATTCTTTTTACATTGTTTGATGGTATCTTATTATAAAATGTTTTATAAACATTTCTGGTATATTTTTTCAGGCGAACAGCTCTAATGTTTCTGATAATATAGTACTACAAGAGTCTAGACTCAAAGCTGATTCTGTTAGGGAAAATTTATCCTTGTGGAGTAAATGCAGCCAGGACCCAATCACTTGTGACAGTGAACAGTTCTATGTTGGAGCATTGGTTCCCCCATTGTCTGTCAGCAAATTCAAGGTGGGAAGGAATCTACGTAGACTTTCATCTATACCTGGCAGGGATAAATCCTTACTTAAGAATGAAAGACCACTAGAAAAGGTTTGTTTAAATTAAATTCAGTGTAAAACAACAATTCAATTGTTTCAACTTCTACCTTGAAAAGCATTTCTTAAAAGGTGTCAAAAATATTCAAATTGATGCTAGAATCTTGTTTATCAAGATATATGAAGTCTTTTGTGTGTGTGTGTGGGGGGGGGGGGGGTATTTTGCTTATTTTTCTCAAGGAAAAAGGAGTAACTTAAGCACATGCTTACATAAATTACATAAAACCAAACAATATCTTTTGAGAAAAAAAATATACATGAAATTGTTATTCTAATAAGCATATGTGATGAGTCATTTCAGGCACTGTGTGTCAGTTGAGTATATAACTGACATTTAATATTTCAGAGTGGACTAAGTGATCCAGTACCAGATGATATAATCACAGCATCCACCCAGACAGCAGTAGTCCTGGCAGAACTTGCTGTAGATGATACATATATATTAGATGTTACAGCTAATTCACAGCTTACTCAAGACATTCATAAATCAGACAATTTATTTGAATTACAAGCAAGTGGATTTTGTGTGGAGGCAATGGTTTTAAATGTAAGCATTTGCCAGGTTTCTACTAAATGCTTTGCTTTCTATATTAATGGGCCCATTGTTATAAAGTGTCCTGAGAATCATTGAGACAGGTGACCAGGGCTCACGCTGTCGGTCGCCATAGTCGCCATTTGCGATTATTTTATAAGATTGGCGATTATTTTTGCATTTTGGCTACAAAATCTGGCGATTAATTTTTACTTCCAACAGTGTTTATATAAGGTGTAAAAATCGATAATGAATGCAGTAGACCCAATTAACACCAGCGGGGTGCATTTAATTGAGTGTCAACTTTTTACCGGTCACGTGCTGCTAACTATATTGCCCGAGGTGATAAAATACATGCGAGATGTATAATTGTATAAGTACTTTAAAGATATTGTCCAGCATTTATAATAGCCATCAAATATCCGTCAATTAGCCACAAAAATCGTTTTAAAATTGATAAACTGGATTGACTTACCCAAAATTTACCGTGAATTCCAGTAATTGCAAATTTTGATTTTTTTTTGTTTTAAGTTACTTGACTAAATCGCCAGTTGAAAACAATGGTAAAATATTTAAAAAGTATTAAATTCCAAACAACTATTTGCACAACAACCAAAATTGTGAATATTTCTTCAGAAAACAGAGAAAATCCGATTGTCACATATTTTCGCGACGCCGATAATTTTGATATTTATTTAAAGGTGAAATAAGCTATGTTCTGTTTAAAAATCTTTACTACTATAGCAGAAAATTTGTATTACATTGGTGATGATGATATTTTTTAGTAAATTATTCAGAAAAAAAGGCTGCATTCTGTGAATGAGTTTGCAAACTTGTGTTATTTCTATAGGCTAATATGACCTAGATCTACTCCAGTTCTGTGTGAAATGTGGAAATTGACAGTGGTTATAGCTGACAAAATTTGATTAGAACAAACAAAAAAAAGTTGTCTGATAACAGCCTTATGTAAAGTTATAATGAATCTTTAATATTATTGTTATACAGTAATTATACTAATTATAACTTTTTATTCTGTTCTATAATAACAATTAAAGTTTTGGTTCTATTTAAAAAAGGTAGTTATCAACATACACAAATATGTACCAGTTTATTTGAGAATCCTTATAAAACTGAAAGATATGAATGTAATGTTTATTTAATCAACTGCTTATGTTGTTAATCACTAATTCGTGAATAGTCCGCTGAACTTTTGGCTATTATTTTTTTAAGTTGAAAATATTGGCTATTATTTTATTTGAGCCAGTGTGAGCCCTGGGTGACTATTAGAGGATGTGCACACACTTTTACAATTTTAATTTTATTTTCTGCCGTTACATATAATTATTAAAATAATATACAATGTATATGGAAAAGAGAAAGAAACACTTACCTTTTCGTTAGCAATTGAGCTATTTTAATGATTAGAACTTTTCTGATAAATTTTAATTGTTGATGTTACAGAAGGGTGACCAAGATGAACAGATAAGACAAACATTGACTGATTATAAGAGAATGGTGAACAACAAACAATGCAGTGATGTTACTGTGACCTCATGTAGTGGAGAAACTTTTAATGCTCACCAGGTCATTCTAGCAGCCAGGTGCCCTCAGCTGTTACAGGTATAAATTATATTAAATGTTGCCGTATGATCATTACATTTTTCAGATTAGATACTGAATCAAAAAGTGAAATTAAAAAGATTTTAGATGTAAGATTGTTATTAGATAGCACAAATTCACAGTAAACTTAGCCTTAAGTTATTTTCTTATACTGTATATGAAATATGCCTTCTTTGAATATTAATTAGTCAGTGTATATGTAAGAATGTGTTTATCCTATCATTTTTACATGATGTTTATTTCCTGTCCAAATGCTGAATAGACAGCAAGAGTTAAATGTGTGTGTATCATGTTTTTTGGGTTATTAATTTGATTAAGGCAGTCTGAAGAAAGTCTAGTTTTAATATCAATACAAATAATTCTCTGCTGATATTTTAAATGATAACCAACTGTCAGAATATTAGAAATCTTGATCAGTATTTGTGAGAAAGTTTTCTGATTCCTAATATAGATTTATCAATATTATAGAATTACTATATACATTATGAACAAAATAGTAATCTCAGAGACTGATATTGAGCTATTTTTTTCCAGATGATGAAAGATTCAATGATCACATTAGATTTTACCCCAGACATAGTGCTGACCTTCCTGACTTTTATATATACAGGGGATATTACTCTTACACCTTCTTCACAAACTGAACTCCTTGTATTAGCAAAACAGTTAGAGTTCACTCCCCTGGTAGATGCTTGTAATAAAGTAGTATTACAGAAGGAGATTTCTGACACTGTGGACTTGAATGATAACCAAGAATGTTCAGAAACTGACTTTGTTGAGTCTAAGTTAGATATGAAGGAAATATGGGGAGAATCTGACAGTGACCTTGACCTGAATGAAGGTGATGAGAGCAGTGATAAAGAGATAAGTTGTGATAGTGATATTACTGAGAATGATTATAGAGATATTACATCTACACAACATGGTAAACTAAAGAGTAAGGTTTCTCAGAGTGTTACTGATATAATGGAATTAGATGATGATGATGAGGTAAGAGGAAAAAATATGGATGATGAATTGGGTAAAAAGGGTAATAATAATGTGCAAATAGAAAATGAATGTGCTTCTGATGAAAATGCATCATCTGTAGAAAACAATGATAATGAAATCATGGATGTAGATTTAGATATTGAAATGAATTTGAATGAAGATATGAATTCTGATGTAAGTCCAAGTCCAAAAAGGGTGAGATTAAGTTGTGAAACTAAACACTTAAATGATGAAGAGAATGCTGTAATGAATCAAAACAGTGTTCTGAATAAAATAAATAAAAAAGATGTCTATGAAGGAAATACAGGCCATAATGGTCATAAGGAAAGCTTGAGGGAAGTTAATAAAGTGATTGAAATAGATGATGATATTGCTAATGATACTAGCATTGGAATGAATTCATCAACTGCTGATTTGTTTGACAGTCCTTCACCTAAAAGAGGTAGTGTTGCAACAGAAACTGTGATTAAGGAAGCAAATAAAACTTTGTCTTCTGAATATGATATAAGAAAGATATCAAAGTTTTCCACTCAACTAGAAAACAAATTTAACACAAATACACCTCCTGTGACTGCTGTGATAAATATAGATTCAGATTCTACACAAGAAGATAATGATAATGTTGATGAAAATGTTAGTGATATTGATGGTAACAGTCAGGGAGATAATGTAAACCAATGTGATAACTTTAATGACAGTCTAGAAAAGGGTTATGATCCTGTTGCATGTGATACAGAGACTGTAAATGATAATGCAATACATTCATACAAAATGGATAAAGGCATTGCACATGATGATGATGATAAATCAGATGGTACCTTGGATGGTTCAGATGATGATTTACAAATAACAGGAGATAATCTGGATGAATTAATTCAAAATTCACCTACTTTTCATCATCATAAAACAATTTGTGGTTCAAAAAAAGGTTATTGTCATGGAAAAGAGGATCTTGAAACCAAATATCTTGGATTGAAAAGTTCCACTGAAGTTGTCTCCCATCGAGGAAGTAATTCTAGTGCTGATGAATCTGTAAATAATGAACCTAAACATTTATTTCCCTCATCAAGAGACAGTAAAGACTTAAATTGTGAGGACAGTAATGTTTATATTAAGATCCCAGATAGCACTGATGATACGGATGAATCTGTGACAACTGTTAAACAGTCTAGTGACAAAGACCATTTGGATATCTGTAGTGAAGAATCTGATATGAAAAGTAGTCCAGGTGTAGATGTTAGAAAATCTGTAGCATATGGAAAACATGAAATGTCAGTATATACTGATGATGCAGATAATGCTGGTACTCCAAACAGCTCATTCAGTGTTGACAATGCAGGTATGATAATAATAAAATATGTAAGATTTTTTGAACCCCTGTAAAAAGTGTGAGGAATTTATTATATGTTTAATGATTGTAAGTTAGACAACTGACTTTTTCATTTGATTACATTTATGTGATAGGACTCAAATTCAGGTAACACAGCATCATGCATATGTACAGACTAATCTACCTAGCTGCTTATATATTTACTTCCCAATTCTGTACCATGACAATTTACATTTGTGAATTTTGGAATACACAAAGTGACATATACTAGGAGTGCAACAATTCAGCTTTTTCTCAATGTGATTGGTTTCTAGATTTTTGCTTTGCTTTTTGATAAATTTCAATTTTGGCTAAAGACTCAATGTTGACATAAATTTTTCTTTAGGGAATACTTAAAAAAAACAATATTTACCTACACTGAAAAAATGACCCAGCATCATAAGCAATTTTTGGTTTGTTTTCCACTTTTATTAAACAACATGTTTTAGTGTTTACATTACACCTGTTTTAGTTGGATTAGCAAGAAAGCATAACCAATGAAAGAAACGCTTGCTTAGAAAACATTTGTTTGATATCTGAAAGGAAATATTTTTTGCACAAATGGTCAAAGCAATTTTACTCCAAATACGCCCATGATGAATCAGGAATCGATTACTCATCTTTGAATCGTTGTTTAGCATAATCGGGAGTAATTGCTTTACTCCTAACATTTACAGAGACAACATCATAAGTATGTACTTAATAATGATAACTCTTGTACATGTCATAAAGTTCCTGAAGGCATTGAGATAATTTATCTGATATGTATTGTTATTGATTTCTAGAAACATCATTACTAAACTGTGCAAAGAGGATATTAGCAATTCATTTTGTTTGGAAAAATAAAATGATTCTGCTGATGTGTCCTATATGAACAGTTTCTTGTTTTAAAATTAAAACAGGTTGAGATTTAATCCATTTATATAGCATTTTTATAAGTTGTTTTATTGACAGATGTGTGGGAGGATTTTGATGACTGTGGTATGGGGTATGAACCTCCAGATATCAGTGTTGGAATAATGTGTGATAATCAACCTCAAGATGAAAGTCCTGTGAATAACTCCGCTCTTATTGGATATGAAAAATCAACAGAAAGTGCTGATGAACTATCACCTGTCATCCCTGTGGTTAGTTTATTTTGTACCTAGATGAAATTAAAACTTATTCTTACCAAATATTTACATCTAACTGCTGATTATAAATTTTACTACCATAATCAATCCAATATGTTTCCTGTATAATTTATTATACCTTTTTATGTTTCATCCATAAAATTTAGAAAAAAACAATAAATACATGTAGGTTAAACAAACATTGTTCTGCATAATGCAAAATATTTTTACTCGCTCAAAGCCTTGAAACTATCTGACTCACCTAGGGTCAACAATAGTTTATCCAGCTGTGCATTAAAATTTTGTCCATTAATTTTCTTGTATTTTACAGTCATTGTAAATGAATATATAAACATACATATTTTTATGTAAAAAAGAGTTGTTCCTGGTAATCCCAAATTTTATGCTTTTTAACATCAAAATGTGGGATACAAAGCTTATTGAGACATCAACAAAACAAAGTTTCCTCAAATTCTAAACAAAGGTCATATTGATAGAACATTTTTCATTTTAGCAAGAAGTAATTGATCTCTCTCAAAATGAAGATGATAATGATGTTGGTGAGAAACAGTCAGGAAATGATATAGACAATGCCCTTCTAGAAGATGGAGATGATAGTTTTGTGTTTAAAGTAAATGATCAACTGGAGAGAACAGACACTCCAGTAACAAAAATTCATCAAACAAAGGTAATGAACAACTTCCAGCGTATGCACCCTGTGATCTCCCAAATAAATCATTATAAATTTAGCCTCATTTTCATTTTGTCAGTCCAAAACTTCCATACAAATATATCTTGTACTCAATTTAGCTTCTTTTACATTTTTACAAGTGTTAAAATTCCACGCGAAATCACTATTGTACTCTCTAGCCTTTCATTAGTCCAAAAAAATTCACATTAAATCAGGAACATACTCAAGGTAACTGAGTTTTGTATCAAAATTATATCAGTCAAAAATTTGGTTGTGTTATAAAGATTATAAATTGACATTGTTGAGTACAATAGTGATTCTGTTGGACTTGTGTATAGCTGCAAAACCCATATTAGGCTTGGAAATCTCTTTAAGTTTGACAACTGTTTACTTGTCCATTATAATTCAGTAGTGTATTTAGTATACAATAACCTCATGATATTGCCAGGAATAGTGTTGTAATCAAAATCAATGATATATTTCATTGAAAATTGCAGAATGAATTAGCTTTTATATACATATAAAACATCCAGTATGGCTTTTCATCACCCTTTATGAAGATATTTTTGTGTATATTTGTAGAAAAATAGTTTTAAAACACCAACAGTAGTTGCAGGAAATCCTGAGAAGAAACGTCAATGGGAACCTCCCTCTCCTTTTACTCCAATGCCAGAGTACGGATCCATGCCAACACCAGCTCTCAAGGTTTAACTTCATTACTATGTTATATTACATCTTTCTCATATTTTGTTAGCAATCAATCTGATAAAAACTTTTTTGTTTTCGTAAGAACATCTCTTTCTAACAAATGGTTAGCTTCTGACAGAAAGAGGATGCATTTAAAGGGCCAAAGTTCTCTTGTGCATGGAAGCAAACCAGACTTGAAGGTTCTACAAAATTGTATGTTAGTTAGCACATGAAATAATACACATGACAGTTTACTGGGCTTGCAAACTCACAAAATGCAAGTATAAATAAAAAATGCTAGTTTTCTTTCTAAAACTTGCCAAGTTTGCAAGTACGTAAAATGTAAATATGCATAAATTGATGTAAAAATAACAGAAAATAAGATTTTGAAATAAGTGAGAATGACAATGTATATATTGTCTTTATTTATGATGCATCTTAAACATTAATGACAAATATAAAGTTATCATGTATGTAAATAAAAATGCCGGAAAAAAATGAAAGTTCATTTTTGGTTTTGCAAGTTTAAATTCACAAAATAGCAAAAGTTTGCAAGTGCAAGATAAAGTTAAATTCTAGCCCAGGTAACCTGAGGTCACCCAAATATATGTATGGTTTGAAAATAACCATATGCTTTTATTTGAAGATAATAAAGAGTATTTGCCAACTCATCACTTTTGAAATTATATAAGGTGTGGAGGATGTGTTAAACAAGACAACTCTAACCATTAGTTTGTGTGGTATGTTTACAGAAAGCAGTAAATAAATACGGCATGAAACCAGTAGGAAAGAAAAGAATGATCAAAGTCCTCGAAGATATCTATCATCAAACACATCAATGTAAGTTTAATGTTATATAAATATTACTATATCAGTGATGTAAGTGTAGAGTAAGTTTTAATTCGAATTTCTGAGGCTGCATTTAACCAGTTATATTAGCACATTGTAAATTTTAATCTTAATTTCTGTGGCTTCATAAATTGAGTGTTTATGGAAACTGACTTTAAATCACTTGTCCCTCACCACAGTGGGTTGGTATACTGTCAGGGACTTTTTTACTATCCAGCTAGCATATGGAAGGTTGGTTGTTCTACTCAGGTGCCTGCTTGTGTCTGAAATAATGGATGAAGCACCACCTGTATGATTGGTATATTTGTACTACTGGTCTAGTTATGATGACTGGTATATATGTATGACGGGTATATTTGTTGGACTGGTATATTTGTATCACTTGTGTATTTGTTATAACTTATATATTTGTATGACAGGTATATATGTATTACTGATATGTATGTAAGACTAGTGTATTGGACTGGTATACTTGTATGACTGATATATTTGTTTGGCTGGTGTATTAATTAAAATTGGTATATTTGTGTGGCAGGTATATTTGTTTTGCTGGTATATTTGTTTCACTGGTATATTTGTTTCACTGGTATATTTATAAATAATTCTATGGCATATATAGATGAGACTGACAGTGACTGTGAAGAGGAGGTACATACTGGCACTACAACCTCAGTAACTGGTGGAGGTGATACATTGACCAATGATAGTCTACCATCTAGTCAAGGGGATTTATCCTCACAAGATTCTGATATCAGGTATAATTATATACACTTTTAGACGCTTTAATGAATCCACTCCCAGAGAAAAAGTTTTTCAGTGAGACAGCTGTCCATGTAGCTTTTAAAAAGTTGTAGATGCTTTCAAATATCACAAAACTTTGAGAAATGTATAGAGATAAAAGTAAATTCAATTTATATGTTTTTTGCAGAATATGACTTTTTTACCATTTTATCACCATATAAATGCAGCGAAAGGGTAACTTTTGCATATTTTGTCACATTTTACGTAGCTTTTAGAATGTAAGACTATGTACAAGATGTTAGCTTCAAAAATTGTCAGATGACATCTACTACATTTCTGTGATACAGATAGATTTTATCACACAAATTCATCAATATACACTATATTTCAGCATGTATTTTACATCATATTAATTGTTTATTTTATATTTTATTTGAAATATTGGTGTGATGTTTCAGTGATGTATTAGAGGAGAGTTGTCTCCACATGTCCAGTGATAGTGACACCTCATCTTCTCCACAGGTAATTATTTTCTCTATCTCATCGACTTACCTGATTACACTAGTATGTAGAAAACTGATTAGACTGGTATGTAGAAAACTGATTACACTAGTATGTAGAAAACTGATTAGACTAGTATGTAGAAAACTGATTACACTTGTATGTAGAAAACTGATTACACTAGTATGTAGAAAACTGATTACACTAGTATGTAGAAAACTGATTAGACTTGTATGTAGAAAACTGATTAGACTAGTATGTAGAAAACTGATTAGACTAGTATGTAGAAAACTGATTAGACTAGTATGTAGAAAACTGATTAGACTATTATGTAGAAAACTGATTAGACTAGTATGTAGAAAACTGATTACACTAGTATGTAGAAAACTGATTAGACTATTATGTAGAAAACTGATTACACTAGTATGTAGAAAACTGATTAGACTAGTATGTAGAAAACTGATTACACTAGTATGTAGAAAACTGATTACACTAGTATGTAGAAAACTGATTACACTAGTATGTAGAAAACTGATTACACTAGTATGTAGAAAACTGATTACACTAGTATGTAGAAAACTGATTACACTAGTATGTAGAAAACTAGCTTCACTGCTCTTAGGTGAAAGATTTGTAGTCTTGAAAGCACTAAATTTTTTTCCATGACAATATTGTTGACAAAGGCCTTTTGTCCTTGACTAGTGTTTCAACTGTTTTATGGGATGCACATTACTTGTGGGAAAAAAAGTAAGAATTGAAGAAAATTCTTTTGATAACTGCCTGTAGTTACGTGACTGAAAGTAACTGGCAGTAAATAAAATACTTAACACCATTACTTATTTGACTAGAGTAACATCATTCTTTTATCTTTGCATATCAGACTGGTGTTTCTGTTGGTTCTACTCTTGTTGGCATTTTCACTTGTTATGCAGGTTGCCAGATGAGTCACAACACATTTTAGAATTTAACTTTGTTCATAGAGTTATAAATTCATAAGCTACTTTACAAAAAGAGTAACAGAAATAAGAACACAAATTGAATGTATTGCAGTTATATAAAACACATCATATTCATTACTGTTATGTACACATATTTATTGTATTCATGACTGTTTTAGGACATATTTATTACATTTAAAGTAAACATTATTTATGATATAAAGTTAATTAAAGCATGTTTTTGTTTCAGAAAAATGTTGATGTAACCAGACAGCTCTTTCAGTTTATTAAAACACGATCAGAAATACATGCAAGAATTCTAATGTATGAGGTAAATCATTTAAATAGAATTTACATGATACAAGAGTTACCTGGTAGGAGAGGCATTATGGCCCATTGTTACGTAGAACCCACTCCCAGCATTACAGTTATTCTTCAAGTAGATCACAGTATATCCAGATTAAAAGTTGTTTAGTTTTGTAACATCATGGAACAGTTGTTAGGGTGACATTATTAACTGTTTGAGATTTGTCTATGCCACATATTTAAAGACAACCTGTACATGGTACAGTCTAAAATAGTCTCTGTTAACTGTTTCAAACACTGACAAATTCCAATCAAATTAAATTTCAGATCATTTTATCATTTATGTTCATTCTAAGGTAATAACATTGGTTAGGAGCTGATTTAAATCAGATTGGATAAGACAACATTAGTCTATTGTACAAATTTTGCAGTAGAGTGGAGAAGATTTTTTTGTCTTTTTTTATCAGACTTCATTTGCTACATGTACATGTATTTGAAATTGATAGTTTTAAAATGTTGTAGGAGTCCCCCTTAATCAGGTCAACTATTACCATTTGACTAACAACCCATTTGACTGCAGGCTGTTATTTCTTAGATACATGTCCAGTTTCACATTTGATGTATTGCTAAATTTGTTTTAAAAAGAACTATTCTCAGATTAATATTTGTACCAAACTTGAAAATATGCTTGTCTTAATTGATTAAAATAATGTAATGAATTCATGTACATAACATTATATATATCAAATACTTGAATATAGTAAGATGTTTCTTACACATTGTACTATTTCATTACAGCCTCTAGAACTTGATGTTTTAAAGAAAGAGGTTAAAGATTCAGGAATCAAATGCTCTATGGATAAACTGATGGATTTCTTAGATGAAAGGGTAAAATTACCAATTTCGTTTGCAATGGAAATGTTTATTACATAACTTTGATACCTTTGATGTAATTATGTAACCATATATTGTGTATTGTTTCTACTTTTGCATTAATTTCACTTTGGTTATATATTTCTTGACAGATTTTCACTTTGGTTATATATTTTTCTTGACAGCTTTACTTTCACAATTTGATATAAGTTTGCAAATGTTTCAGTCACTGTCAGATTTACATAGTTTCTCAAATACATTATTACTAGCCATATATTATCAGCTTTACGTGGACATGTTTGCTGTATATGATTTCAGTGCATCGCTTTCACAAGTAAGAACTCCAGAAAGAGACAGACTAGTAGAAGAGGAAAACAGAAAACAACAAAATCTAAAAACACAGAAAACCAGCCTGACAAATGAATAAATACATAATTGTTGGATATTGTACTACAATATGTTATGCTTGTTTATAATGACATATGACATGACTTTAACAGAAATATAAGCATGTCAATGCCTGTTAATAACTAGCTCATTGAATTATTATATTCATGACAAATAACAGCTGATTTTAACTCTTACCATGCTAAATATATAAAATGGACATGTCCATCTTACAAGTTGGACATAATCATTTATGTACTGACTGATTAACTTTATGGATGTGCCGGCTGATCTTGGTCTGCACTGGTTACATGGGTAGAATCAATTGTTGTTAGCAGACTAAGTGTCAAAATAATCAGTCAATTGATGCGTTCAGAGTTGATAAAAGCTGTTACATTTAACCTTGCACTCATCACTACTATAGAAAAAAACACATTCATGTGTATATGTTAAACATGTGAATTAAAGGACATTTAAGCCGATTCACGACAAAACCAACATAGTTGGTTTGCGACCAGCATGGATCCAGACCAGCCTGCGCATCCGCTCAGTCTGATCAGGATCCATGCTGTTTGCTATCAGTTTCTCTACTTGTAATAGGGTTTGTAAGCGAACAGCATGGATCCTGATCAGACTGCGCGGATGCGCAGGCTGGTCTGGATCCATGCTGGTCGCAAACCCATTATGTTGGTTTTGTCGTGACGCAGCTCATTTAAGTTTTGCTCTGTGAGGGAGAAGTGCAAGTATCCACTTGGAAGTAAGATATTTTTTAATATTTCACCTTATTTTAAGAAAACAAAGAGGTATTTACATGTACTTAATTTATCGAAATAAAGTCCACAGATGTTTCTGTATTGTCAGTTAATCACTGATAAGTAAGAAAATAATGACTGTATTTTCATATTGTTTTACATTATTTTCTAACAATTATTCCTTTTAAAAACATCAAATGTTTTTTAATTATTTTATGTTATTTTTCAAAAATGGAAGTTTGTATATTTAACGTAGTTATCTTGGTGCTGTAAGTTTACTTACTGTTTTAATCTTGACTTGTTAACAACACACAGTATGCATGTATATATAGTAACTATTTACTAGTAAATAATAATTAAAGTATGAGATGCACCTAGGAGTTCTGAAAAAATATCCAATTTACATCATTTTTTACGTTCGCTGCATTAATTTTGTTGTATTAATGTCAATGTACATGTACATTGTAATGAAAATATCAAACTGAATAAATTTCATAAATGTTCTTGGCATTTGAATTCCTTTAATCTCGTCATTTTTTATTCATATATATATATATTTTTTGCTTATATATTTTGTACTAGTTATTATTTTGGGTTTGAAGATATAACAAATGTGTCTACATACTTTTTATCCACCAAATTTGCCAGTATAATGAAGTTAAGGGGTTCAATTTGAAACAGGGTCTTTCAAATTGTCTGTTTGAAAGACCCTGTTTTCAAGCATGGTCGTTGGGCAAGACATCGTAATTTATAAAAGACTGAAGACATGTCATCGCTATCATAATTGGCAAAGTAATAACATAGAGGATATTTGTTTTGCATGTAATATATAGAGGATATTGAATAAGTGTAAGTTCAATACTGAATTTATTGCACGAGTTGAATAAAATTATATTATGCGAGCCTCTGGCGAGCATAATATTAATTTATTCAACGAGTACAATAAATTCAGAAATGAACTTACACGAATTTAATATTCTATTTATCACATACCCAAAATAGAGACCGTTTAAAGTGAAATAAGAGTCATTTTTCATTGACGCTCCTATAGTATAACGCTAACATTTAGCGCGTCTTTACATTATGTTAGCATAACGCTAATGACGTCACGTCAAAATATATGCACGGCCGTGCCATACCATATTTACGGAGTCGCAAAATCGGCACGGATGTGTGATAATGAAATATATTTCACTGAGTGAACACCAGATGCAATATATTCACGAGTGGCATAGCCACTCGACACCACTCGTGAAAATAGTATAGCTGTGGTGTTCACGAATGAAATATATTTCAATGTTATAAGTGAAACAAATAAATTTTCTTTTTATTTCATGCAATTTAAGTGATTTTAAGTATTTTTTGCGGATTTTGCCGCGTAACGTCGCACATTCACCTTTATGACGCCGTCACATCATCTATTTTGGATTATAGTTCTGTTAAATTACTCTGTAATAGTTATAGTATATGAAACGAGTTAGTTACGGCACGGACTTTAATTGACATCCGTGGTTACGGGGACATAACGCTGACTGGGGCGACATCAAGGGACCTTTCTGCTAAAAAATGTGGAGGCCGTTATGCCGAGACAATTTTTTAGCAGAAACATCCCTACGTGAGTGCGTAGGTACAGAATACAAATTTCTGTAGTTCGCTAAACTTGATACAAAACCATATCTGTTACTACATATCGACCACACTGAGTAATGTAGTTTTGCTAATGTTTTTATTGATGTGCATGTTCCTGTTATAGAAATAATTGTTGCATTTTGGATCTTTGTGGCATATTTCCCGTACCAAATATCGTTAATTTAATAAAAAATTTAAAAAGTTACTTTGATCTTTTTGCTTGCGCTCCCGTTGAACATAATTAAATAAAATAAAAGGGAACTGTTTATCGTGAAATATATTTCGCATTGGCATTGCTGTTCAAATTTTCACTGGCGAAAAAATTGCAATTTTCTCATGGCAATACATAATTACATATAACCGAGCCACTATTACAACACAACAAATATTGGCATAATATGATAATTATACATAATACAAAATATAGAGGATGTTTGTTTGTTTTGCATGCAAGATCGAAATGAAAGTGAACATCAGATGTTGTTTGTTTTGCATGCAAGATCGAAATGAAAGTGAACATCAGATGTTGTTTGTTTTGCATGCAAGATCGAAATGAAAGTGAACATCAGATGTAATATTTTCACGAGTGGCGAGTAAAAATATAGCAGTTGTTGTTCACTAGTGAAATAAATTTTGATCTTGTATACACACATTTTTTTTTATGTATTTGAGCTTTTTTATGAGATTTTTAAAAGCCATTTTTGCCGCGTTTCGACATGCGCTTTCATTCATGACGTCATCAAACCATTACGTTACATTGTTTTTGTTGAACAATAATTCTGTAAATTTACGAATTTTGTAACATTTTCTAAATGATGAAATTATTTGCAGATAATAATGTGCTTCTCATAATAATAAAGCACATTTTACTTAGGACAGAGTGTATCCACTTATTGAAGATATATTCTTTTCATCCACATTCAAATATAGACTGGCTGCTGTGTGAAATTATCAAAACATAATTTTACTGCTCATTGGAAGTCATGTACAGTCATTTACAGTAATCTATGTTATGTAGATTTATTTTCTTAGTATTCAAACTTGGGCCTTGGGAGTTATATTTCCACTAAATATGCAGAATGGTGTAGCTCTAAAATTTTTTTTGATTGACTGAAATCGTAAAATACGTGTTCTTATCCACTATACATATATGCTTTATCACCAAAAATAACGTATAAATAATTGTGTAAATTATAGTTATTCATAATCGTGCAAAATTCTATGACTGAAACGAGCACGACGGTAAGTAAATGGTCCAATATATTTTTGTATAGGAAAACAAATTGAAATGGAACAATTAGTGTATACATACGGTTGAAGAGACATTTTAAAGCTCATTAAAATATTTACAGGAAGTGTTTATTTTTCAGGATCCTTCGTCTATCTCGTATTAAGTTATAAACCTAATTCATATCCAATGTGTTTAAATGTTTATAGAATAACATCGAAGTCACAAGAATGCGGAATTCATTTTTAAAGGAGTAAAAAAAATACAATGATAAAATTGTACACGCTACTAAACAAGAAACAAGCGTAGCATCTAGTAGAGATGTTTAGTGATTTTAATAATCATTTGTTTTGATTGTATTGACATTCCCTTTTATTCTGATGAAGTTATTTTAACTAAGAGAGGACATGGGTTTACAGACAAAATTCACAGACGTTCGACACATTTGCCATGCCAATAATGGCCCAATTATGAAAAAATAATCACCCCTTCATAATTGAGAACAAAATAACTATCTAGAACCAGTTTACTATACAAAATGTTTATAAAAATTAATGGACTCATTCAATTTATTTAACATCAAAAAATAGATTTGATAATATTTCAACAGAATTGTGAAAGAAATCCCTTGAAATAAATATGAGTTTTGACTCCGCCCACTTTCATATTTATATTTCATATTTATTTTTAACACATATGAAATATATTTGACTGATATAGCATATTTCATGGGTAAAATTAAATAGATACATGTATAGAAATGAACGGACTCATTCAATTTAATTCATATAACATCAAAAAATAGATTTGATAATATTTCTTGAAAATATTGTCCATATTTCACTCAAACGAAAGAAACTCTTCTCTTATTATTTAATTTTACCCATGAAATATGGTGCTCGTGAAAATATGTGGCATTTTATCATGTTTTGTGAAAATATATTCCATATTTCAGTAAACGAAAATTTATCCTCTTATTATCCTTAAACACAACCACCATTAATTTTATTGATATAGACAATATGTGACGGTACCTTCATTTCGAGGTATTTGGTGGCCCTAAAAAGGGCCGGGGTTGTTAAGCTACGGCTGTGTAGCTTACTTGGCTCTCATTGCTCTGCGTCTCCTCGACGTCCTACGAGCAACTTTGCGGGCAACTCTCCGCTTTGGTGCACGACTTTTGCGGGACCTTTTAGCTTTTTTGGTCTTCTTTGACTTTTTTGCCTTCTTGGACTTCTTGGCAGTCTTGCGCTTTTTTGATGCAGACCTGTTTCTATGCCGTCTAGCATTTGCCCTCTTCAATGCCTCCCTACGCCATTTCTTGCCCCTCTTAGCTGTAAGTTTGTATGCAGTAGAACCCTTTGGATGGGAAAGGAAATGGGATCTGACGCCAGCTGTAAGCGTCTTTTTCACCATAAAGTTCAGCAAGGCTCCTTTTAGACTAGAGTGTGTACAAACATACTTTCTGATGGCTTGGGCAGATGCACCTTTGGTCCTGTTAGCGGTAATGGCAGACGTGACCATACCTATCATGGTATTGCCTTTACTTTTTGTGTACATACTCATAGACTTTCTGAAAGCTTGCATTTTTTGGGACTTACTGCGCTTTGTGTAAGCAGACCTCCGCCTGTACTTACTACGCTTCTTAGACCTGTTGCGCTCCTTAGATGTGCTACGCGTTTTGGAAGCGGACCTCTTCCTGGACTTGCTACGCTTCTTAGACCTGTTGCGCTTCTTAGATGCGCTACGCGTTTTGGAAGCGGACCTCTTCCTGGACTTGCTACGCTTCTTAGACCTGTTGCGCTTTTTAGATTTGCTACGCTTTTTGGAAGCGGACCTCTTCCTGGACTTGCTACGCTTCTTAGACCTGTTGCGCTTCTTAGATTTGCTACGCTTTTTGGAAGCGGACCTCTTCCTGGACTTGCTAAGCTTCTTAGACCTGTTGCGCTTCTTAGATTTGCTACGCTTTTTGGAAGCGGACCTCTTCCTGGACTTGCTACGCTTCTTAGACCTGTTGCGCTTCTTAGATTTGCTACGCTTTTTGGAAGCGGACCTCTTCCTGGATTTGCTACGCTTCTTAGACCTGTTGTGCTTCTTAGATTTGCTACGCTTTTTGGAAGCAGACCTCTTCCTGTATGCGCTTCGCTTTTTTCTCGACTTTCTGCGCTTTTTTGAAGCAGTCCTCTTTCTGGATTGACTGTGCTTTATGGAAGCAGAACTTTTTCTAGACTTGTTGCGTTTCCTGGAAGCAGATCTTGATCTTTTTTTTGAATGAGACCTGCTGCCTTTCCTAGACTTATTTTTCGGGGATTTGCTTCGAGATTTTGAGCGGGAGCGGGATCTTGATGTAAGCTTTTGGGAAGGCATTGTCAGAAGAACAAGAAACTGGTGGGTACCGATTTTGTGTGTTGGGTTTATTTACCCCCGTCGGCGGTATAAAACCATATGGGTGAGCATAAATTTCTTGTTCTTCTTATATACGAGTAGCGCGAACTGGATAGAAAATAGTAAAGATGACGTCACAATAAGAAAATCTATATTTAAGTCTATAAAAAGAGTAAACTGCTAGACAGCTGACATTGAATTGCCCTTTTTCGTTTATTCGTTATCGAAGGTAAAATTTTTGATTGAAGAAAAAACAAACATAAAGACCTAGCATATTTATTCAAAAAATATCTATTAGTGTTTGAAATTTAACCATGAAGATATCTTAAGGCCGAACAAAAAATCTATCTTCCAAAAAGACTTAGACGAATACTTGGGACTCGTTTTTTAATCAATTACTGAACTAACATGATACATATGAGACACAGATATTAAATTAACATAGCAAATGAAGGTCAAATACAAATAATAAGTATAGCCTCTAATATACGTCAATGATTAGTAAAGAAAAAGTATATTCAAGTTTAATTATATATTTTTTAAAGTATTTATTGCCATCGAGTGGTATGATAATAAATATTTCATGAGTGGCAGTAGCCACGAGTGAAATATGATGATTTCATACCACAAGATAAAAATGACAATCGTATTAACAGAAAAAAAACAGCACTTGGATTTTCTGTTTATTATATCTTGGACCAAAAATTATTTTTTATCCCAGATTTTATACTTTTTCTCATTTTTAGCTCGACTATTCGAAGAATATGAGAGCTATTGTAGTCGCCCAATTATTGCTTGAGATATTCAATTGAAACTTACAATACTTATTTAAAATAACAATGTACATCAGATTGACAAGTTGGATAACTCTGCCTACAAAATTTACAGAATTATGCCCCTTTTAACTTAGAAATTTTGGTTAAAGTTTTTTGTAAAGTCAAATATCTCAATTATTGCTTGAGATATTCAATTTAAATTTACAATACTTTTTTATAGTAACAATGTACACCAGTTTGCAAAGTTGCATAACTCTGCCTGCAATATTTGCAGAATTATTTGCCCCCTTGAAACTTAGAAATTTTGGTTAAAGGTTAAAGGTCTTTAAAGGTATTTACTTGAAACTTAACACATGCACTTAGGGTCATAATTGAAGGTCACATCTCAAGATTCATTACTCTGCCTTGTATTTTGACTGAATTATGCTCCCTTTTGTACTAAAAAAATCTCCTTTTCTTGGTTAAGTTTAACATGCAAGTTTTGCATATCTCTGAAACTATTAAAGATACAAATTTGAAACTTCATATGTATATTTGTGGTCATAAATAATGATCACTGAACAGCACTCATATCTGTGTCATGTTTTTAGGCTGATTTATCTCCCCTTTTTTACTTAGTTTATTTAATGTTTACATTCAAGTTTTAAATATCTCAATAACTATTGAAGATATTTATTTAAAACTTCACATATGCATTTTGGGCCATAACTGTAGGTCACTGACCAAGATCCATAATTCTATCTTGCATTTAGGCTGATTTTTCTCCCCTTTTTCAACTTAGAAATTCATGGTAAAGTTTTGCTTGTAAACTGTTATCTCCATAACTACTGAAGGGTTTGTGCCTTTTTTTTGGGAACAATCTTATACATTCATAATAATAAAGCAGTGATTTACTTGATAAAACATCTTAATAACAAGCCTTGTACCTTTTCGGTCAATTTTATGTATTCATAGGTAAGCATTATTATACTCAATAAAACAGCCTTGTGACAACTTTTCCGAATAGTCGAGCCTTACTATCCCCCGACAGTTCTTGTTTAACATTATGATTTGAAAGAATTTCCTTGTAATTTTTGTTTAGGCTGAAATACGGAAAATATGCTTTTTTGCGGAGAAAAATGATTTTTAGGTGAAAATATTTCATTTATGACGTCACGTCATTAAGTTGGTACCCAGTTCTGTGCACGCTGGTATTTCACTGTTCAAAACAACGTAAGGGGCTTAAATTCAAAACAGTGAAATTATCAAAGTGGTAATTTCACTGTTTCAAACAGTGAAATTACCAGTTTTAAATCACCGATATATTTCTATAAACCACCGAAAAGCATGTAATAAAAGCCTTTATAAATGACGTCACGTTGTATTATTATTTGGCGCGCTTTTCATTCAGTATTAGGTTTAATGTCTTTTTAAAACGTTTCTTTGCATATAATAAAAAGAAAATTTGTTGAGTTTAGTGTAAGATCGAAATATATTTCACCTTGTGAACACCAAAAGTTCATATTTCACTCGTGGCTGCGCCACTCGTGAAATATACCTATAAATACATTATTTATTTTCATCGGGTGGTATGAAAATAAATATTTCATGAGTGGTGGTAGCCACAAGTGAAATATGGTAATTTTCATGCCACAAGATGAAAATAAATCATGTATTTATAGAAAAAACTTGAATTTTCTGTTTATTATATACATTTTTCTCTTTTTTGCTATAAAATTTGAAAGACTTTCCCTTAAATTTTGCGTACTGGCAGAATTTAAAAGAAAGTTGTCTGGCAAGACACCAGTGAAAATACGGAATATATGTTTTACTGCAGTGAAAAATAAATTTTTACGGTGAAAATACAGAAAATGAAAATATGCATTTTATTTCATCAATATTTCTCAATATTTCATTTGTAAGTATATAATAAATTCCGATCTTACACTGAACTAAACAAATATCCTCTATTTAATATTTAATTTATATAGAGGATATTTGTTTAGTTCAGTGTAAGATCGGAATATATTTCACCGAGTGAGCACCAAAAGGTATATTTCACGAGTGGCGCAGCCACGAGTGAAATATGAACTTTTGGTGTTCACAAGGTGAAATATATTTCGATCTTACACTAAACTAAACAAATTTTCTTTTTATTATATGCAAAGAAACGTTTTAAAAAGACATTTAACCTAATACTGAATGAAAAGCGCGCCAAATAATAATAAAACGTGACGTCATTTACGACGTCACGTCATTAAGTTGGTTCCCAGTACTATGCACGCTGGTATTTCACTGAAACAACGTAAGGGGCTTAAATTCAAAACAGTGAAATTATCAAAGTGGTAATTTCACTGTTTCAAACAGTGAAATTACCATTTTTATATCACTGATATATTTCTATAAACCACCGAAAAGCATGTAATAAAAGTTTATCATAAATGTTTCTAGCGTTAACGTGAGCGCGATGAATATACGTTTTGACCATGCATTGGGTAGACTCGGCTCGTGAAAATATGTGGCATTTTATCATGTTTCGTGAAAATATATTCCATATTTCACTCAAACGAAAAAATATCCTCTTACTATTTATCACATATATAAAATAATAACGGTAAACTGTTAAAAAGAGTCATTTTTCGTTCGACGTGCCTACAGTGTAACGCTAACATTAGCGCGCTTTTACGCTATGTTTATAGCGCAAATGATGTGACGTCAAAGTGTTATTACACTAGTGTAATATCGTCTAGTGTAATATCGTTTTTATTAAATGGCTTTATAACACTCCTGCGCTGCGGTTTATGTGATAATACAGTAATAAGTACAGTAATAGCAATTTTCATTGAAGCGCGGGAAAAAGACACACGTAAAGATGATGACGTCATACGTACAACGGCTAATAAATAAGTTAGAATACATTAATATTTTGAAAAAAATCAATTTAGTTCAACACTTATGTGGAAAGTACATTCCATTAAATACCATATTTAGAGTGTAACATTTTCCAATGAAATTAATACAATGCGATAGCCAGCTTATCAAATGGTATTTGCCCACAAGATAAGCAAACTTCCGCCATGTTGATTAAAAATGAGTCTAGAGCAAAAAATATCTTAAAAGAAAGAATAAAATTAAAAAAAAAAACAAAAAAAAAAAATCAAAAACAAAAACTAATAATAATGTAAAAAATCAAGACAACACAATGTAATAGTTTCGACTTTCGGATCGAAAAAGAGAAGAAGAAAAAACGACAGCTGTGCACTATTTACTCGAAATTTATTATTTGAAAAAATGAAAAAAAAATACACCGGTCAACATAAAATTACAGTGGCATAAAAGTGACATTTGCAAAGGTATTTTTTGTTTAGTTTTTGATACTTATTTTTTATTTTTTTGTTTTTCGTACATATTTTTTTTTAGTTTTGCATACATATTTTATTTAAGTTTTGATTACATATTTTTTTTAGTTTTGCATACTGCAGTACATATTTTATTTAAGTTTTTCAAACATATTTTATTTTTGTTTTTTCGTACATATTTTTAGGCAATCAAAACAGACTTCACATCTCGTAAGAGCCCATAGTTGAGAATATAACACGGTTACAATAGTAGCACAGCAAAACAAAACAAAAATATGTATTCAAAACTAAAATAAGATATGTATGCAAAACTAAAAGAAAATATGTATGCAAAACAAAAACAAAAAAAAACAAAAAATGTACGAAAAACAAAAAACAACAAAAAAAATAAGTATCTAAAAAAAAATAAATAAATAAAAAAAAAATGCAAATGTCACTTTTATGCCACCGTATAAAATAGAGTTTTCTTTTGGTTTATAATCCCTATAAGGATTTATTGATTGACAATATGTGAAGGTACCTTCATTTCGAGGTATTTGGTGGCCCTAAAAAGGGCCGGGGTTGTTAAGCTACGGCTGTGTAGCTTACTTGGCTCTCATTGCTCTGCGTCTCCTCGACGTCCTACGAGCAACTTTGCGGGCAACTCTCCTCTTTGGTGCACGCCTTTTGTGGGACCTTTTAGCTTTTTTGGTCTTCTTTGACTTTTTTGCCTTCTTGGACTTCTTGGCAGCCTTGCGCTTTTTTGATGCAGACCTCCTTTTACGCCGTCTAGCCTTTGCCTTCTTCGATGTCTTCCTACGTCGTCCTTTCTTACCTGAAAGTTGGTATGCGGTAGAACCTGTGGGGTGAGAAAGGAAATGGGATCTCATGCCAGCTGCAAGTGCCTTCCTGACCATAAAGTTCAGCAAACCTCCTTTCAGATGGCAGTGAGCACCAATATACCTTCTGATAGACTGGGCTGATGCACTTTTCGTCCTGTTTGCAGCTATGGCAGCTGCAACCATTCTCATCATTCTGCTTTTACTGCGCTTCTTAGCGGATTTGCTCCTCTTCTTACTTCCTTTCCTTCCCTTCCTGCGCCTCCTAGACTTGCTGCGTTTCTTTGAAGCAGACCTCTTTTTAGACTTGCTGCGCCTCCTCCTGGACTTGCTTCGCTTCTTAGATGCAGACCTCTTTTTAGATTTGCTGCGCCTTTTCCTGGACTTGCTGCGCTTCTTGGATTTGCTACGCTTTTTTGAACCGGACCTCTTTTTGGACTTGCTGCGCTTCTTGGACTTGCTGCGCTTCCTGGACTTGCTGCGCTTCCTGGACTTGCTGCGCTTCTTGGATTTGCTACGCTTTTTTGAACCGGACCTCTTCTTGGACTTGCTGCGCTTCTTGGACTTGCTGCGCTTCCTGGACTTGCTGCGCTTCTTTGATTTGCTGCGCTTCCTGGACTTGCTGCGCTTCCTGGACTTGCTGCGCTTCCTGGATTTGCTGCGCTTCCTGGATTTGCTGCGCTTCCTGGACTTGCTGCGCTTCTTGGACTTGCTGCGCTTCTTGGACTTGCTGCGCTTCCTGGACTTGCTGCGCTTCCTGGACTTGCTGCGCTTCTTGGACTTGCTGCGCTTCTTGGACTTGCTGCGCTTCCTGGACTTGCTGCGCTTCTTGGACTTGCTGCGCTTCCTGGACTTGCTGCGCTTCCTGGACTTGCTGCGCTTCTTGGACTTGCTGCGCTTCTTGGACTTGCTGCGCTTCCTAGACTTGCTGCGCTTTTTAGAAGCCGCTCTCTTGCCCTTTTTCTTGGCTGGAGACTTGCTTCGTTTGCGCTTTGAAGCGGAGCGTTTTTTCGATTTGGACCTACTTCGTTTCCGTCTAGCTGGCTTTGGGGACTTGCTTGTTTTCGGGGACTTTGACCGGGATTTATGGGAAGCGGAACCCGGGGACTTACTTCGGGACTTAGAGCGGGAGCGGGATCTCGATCTTGACTTACTGCCAGGCATTGTCGCAAGAAGAAAAAAATGGCGGCCAACGATGTTTTGATCTATTTATATGACGAGCGCGAACTGGATAGAGAGCAGTAAAAGTGACGTCACAAAAGAAAGACGTCTATAGTGTGAAAATAATAATCGAAATTACGAAATCGTTTGCTTTTCTCAAATTCCTTCATTTTAAATTATTATTTTTTATAATACGCCATACCTATTAGGTTGCATGTATTGTAGGTGTAATGAATGGTAGAATTAGGATAAAACTAAATGATAAATCAATTAATTTGATCATGGTAAGAAACACAAACAAGACAGATATATGTTATTCGCTGAATATAGGGACAATTTTAGCTATCTTTTCCTATAATATTTATAGTGAATTGCAGTAAAATTTAAAAAATTCTTATTTTATGTAAACAATTTATTTGAAAACATCAAATCGTAATTTATCGGTATCAAATTCGTTATTTAAAACTGTATTTCACAAGATGCGCCAAAATATTTCAATTTCCATTTTGCAATATTTATTGCCATATTTTTACATATATAGTGTCTTACGCAGTAATTTAAGGGCTATTTTGCTTATTTTGTGTAAATTAATTTTGGTTCAGTTCACACATTTTACTTTTGAATGGAGAGATGAGAATGATTATTCGTTAATGGATAATATATTTCATATGTCAAAAATAAGTAAATAAATAAATTTATAAATGTATAAATAAATAAATAAATTAATTAATAGATAAATAAATAAATATATATATATATATATATATATATATATATATATATATATATATGAATAACGTGTTATGATATGATATGATATGATATGATATGATATGATATGATAATGATATGATAATGATATGATATAATATAATATAATATAATATATAAATAAATAAATAAATAAAAAAATAAATAAAGCACATTTTTGTAAATAACTCTTTCGACATTTAATTAAAAGAACAATTATAAATATAACATAACATAAACGTATAAACATTATGTTTTTATGATACTGACATACATATAACATTACACTGATTACATTTGGAACTAATTGAAACTCGAGGGAAAGTTTATTTGTTATTTTGTATTAACTTATCTACTAATTCAATTACATATTTATTGTACGTAATGATTTAAGGGCGAATAAATATTTTGCCTTTACTATGACGTCACTTTCCGCAATTATTAGTAACCGGTGTTCTCCCGCATTTTCGAGTATAAGTAATCATGAGTCTTTGGGTTGACAAACACCGTCCAAATTCGCTCAGTAAGCTTGATTACCATAAAAATCAAGCTTCTCATTTAAAAAAGCTCGTAAGTAATTCTACCATTCACGTAACTGATAATGTACTGTAAATGAATTGATTACGATTCGCTCCACTGACGGTTCGCCCTACAATTATGCCCTACTTGATAAAAATGTTATGTGCATGATCGTTTCTCTTGCATTATATGTTTACATTTTTTTCTCTCTAAATTTTGAAACACTGAACAGTGAATTATTATATTATATACACCAATCTTTGCATACAACACTTGAGTGGTTGGACCAATGCTCGGCGCATACCAATGCTCGGCGTCAAAAATATTTTTTTAGAATATCTGAAAATGTCTCGAGTTATCTCCGATTTAGGTCACTGGTGCTTTTATTTACATCTTTCGCCTTTTTATCCTGGTGTGGTTCACTTCTGGTAAAGTCACGTGACAATGCTACTAGCAGACAAACAACAGTATGTAATCAAATCCCTCAAAAACAGTACTGTTATGAATGACAAGACTTTATCAGATACTCAAGAAGAATTTGATCTAGGAGTTATTTTTGAAAAAGATCTTAAATTTAGCAAACATATTTCTACAAAGATTAGTAAGGCAAATAGTATTATTATTTTCAGGTAGCCGGTGGGGATTTTCCTCATTTACTTGTATATGGGCCATCTGGTGCTGGAAAAAAGACTCGTGTTATGTGTGTGTTGAAGGAACTGTATGGGTCAGGTGTAGAGAAACTAAGAATTGAACAACACAATTTCACTACACCTTCGAAGAAAAAGTTGGAAATATCTACAATATCAAGCAATTATCACATTGAAGTTAATCCTAGGTATCATACCAATCTATTATTTAGTATTTGAAATGTAATTGTAATAAATTCAGTTTTATTCTATAATTCAGGGCCTTTTCACTACTTTTGGGGAAGGCGCCTTAGCCCTTTTTGAGGGGAAAAATGTGTGATTTTACACTTTTGGGGAAAACATCACATTTTCACACTTTTTTAAAGGGAAATATCATAATCTATTTGCATATTTTCCTACTGTTGAAGGGGAATTTTAGACTTTTTTTTGGGGGGGGGGGGGGGGAGTAGTAATTCAGCTTGGGGAAGTAGCCAGATACCGGCTACAGCAAAAAAGGGTAAAAAGGTCCTGTATATAAAATATAAACTTAGCCCTGTAGGTCATTAATATTTAGAAATCTGAATAGCTGGTACAAGTGGTACAAATATATCAGAAACAGTAATTGGGTGTAGAAAATGGATCTAGAATAAAGAGCACAATATTGAGTAACAGACAGTGCTATACATGTATATTCTTGTCTAGTCTATGTGCTGTACTATATTCATTTATATGTTAATTTTACTGTATACTTGAAGCTTATTTATTTACAGTCTTTTAGATTACAAAATAATTACTGTTAACATACATATATTTATATTAACATATCAAGTATTTTTTTTGTATTTTGTAAAGTGATGTAGGCAACAATGATCGTGTAGTGATACAAGAATTGATCAAGACAGTGGCACAAGTCAATCAGCTTGAAACATCCACACAGCGTGATTTCAAAGGTACATGTTTCCTCCTGTCTAGACTAACTCTACCCTTTTTAAATTCATTTTTGAAAATGATGATTTACACCTTTCCATAATTTTTTCTATGTTCAAGAACATGTTGAAATTGAATGTCCAAAGGAACCTTTGTTTGAGAATAATTGTATTGCATATTTTGATAGAAAGTAAGCATACAATAAATGAAAAATATAAAATTTTTAATTAAAATATTTAAGATTTCTTGTTGCATACTGTCTCTACAGAAAGTAAAGGAGAGATGGATAAGTGGTTAAAGTTTCTGTGTCTCAACCAAGGTATAGTGTGTTTGAGCCCATCTTAATATGTGAAACTATGTTTCCTCAGTCCAAGGTAATAAAGAAATATCCCAAGCTCAACTAGGATCTCAGGTATCTGATTGGTCAGAAACTGTCACAGAATGTACACTAACCAATGAAAAACCTGAGATTTGAGACAGAACTCAGAAAAACAGTTTTAAAAACCTAAAGGTCACTACTGGTTATTTCTAGGAAGCGGAAGTGAACGTGATTCATTAAGTTGCCAGAGTTTGTTTCACAATAAATTTGTATAAACAACAGTACAGAAAATAGATTGAATTACAGGAAAATGGTTTGATAATCATTATACCCCCAAAAACGAAGTTTGGGGGGGTTATATAGGAGTCACCCGGTGGTCGGTCGGTCTGTCCAGACGTCCGTTGCATTTTCCTTGTCCGGAGCATAACTTGAAGACTAATGGTTGGAATTCAATGTAACTACATACAATGGTCACGCACATTGAGAGAAAGTGCAGTGCACAAGAACCATAACTCTTTCTTGACTTATTACAGAGTTATTGCCCTTTGTTACTTTTCCTTGTCAGGGGCATAACTTGAAAACTACTGGTTGGAATTGAAAACAACTTCATACAATTGTCAAACACAATAAGGGGAAGTGCAGTGCACAAGAACCATAACTCTATCTAAAGTAATTACAGAGTTATTGCCCTTTGTTACTTTTCCATTGCTTTCTTTTGTCCGGACCATAACTTGAAGACTAATGGTTGGAATTCAATATAACTACATACAATGGTCAAGCACATTGAGAGAAAGTGCAGTTCACAAGAACCATAACTCTATCTTGACTAATTACAGAGTTATTGCCCTTTGTTACTTTTCCTTGTCCGGGGCATAACTTGAAAACTACTGGTTGGAATTCAAAACAACTTCATACAATTGTCAAACACAGTAAGGGGAAGTGCAGTGCATAAGAACCATAACTCTATCTAAAGTAATTACAGAGTTATTGCCCTTTGTTACTTTTCCATTGCTTTCTTTCGTCCAGACCATGACTTGAAGACTAATTGTTGGAATTCATTATAACTTCATACAATGGTCAGGCACATTGAGAGGAAATGCAGTGCACAAGATCCATAACTCCATCTTGACAAATTACAGAGTTATTGCCCTTTGTTACTTTTCCTTGTCCAGAGCATAACTTGAAAACTACTGTTTGGAATTCAATACAACTTCATACAGTTGTCAAGGACATTAAAAGGAAGTGCAGTGCATAAGAGCCATAACTCCATTTTGACAAAATACAGAGTTACTGCCCTTTGATACTTTTCCTTGTCTGGAGCATAACTTAAAACGTACTGGTTGAAATTCAAAACAACTTCATACAATGGTCAAGCACAAAAAGAGGAAGTGCAGTGCACAAGAACTATAACTCCATCTTCAGTGTTTATAGATTTATTGCCCTTTGTTCCTTTTCTTTGTCTTTCTGGACTTATTACAGAGTAATTCAATAAAACTTCATCAATGGCCAACCACATTGAAAGGAAATGCAACATACAAGAACCACAACTATCTTTAATTGCCCACAACTATAACTCTATATATTTCAATTCTTTTACAAGGTATTCTGTTACTAGTAACATCCTCATTTCCAAAGCAGTCTTGTGGGGGTATTAATCACATTTTAGTGATAGTTCTAGTTATGTATGTTAAGAATGTAAATGTATATTACAGTTGTGGTATTAACTGAAGTTGACAGACTAAGTAAAGATGCCCAGCATGCTTTACGTCGTACCATGGAGAAATATATGGCAACATGTCGTCTTGTACTCTGCTGTAATTCTACCAGTAAAGTTATACCAGCTATAAAGAGTAGATGTCTTGGTATACGAGTTGCTGCTCCATCAATTGATGAGGTAAACTAAATTATTGTTATCTGACTGTTCCACATAATGTTATACAAGTAACTGACTGTTCAAGATAATGTTATACAGGTTACCGACTGTTCCACATAATGTTATACAAGTTACTGACCATTCAAGATAATGTTATACAAGTTACTGACTGTTCCACATAATGTTATACAAGTTACTGACCTTTCCAGATAATGTTATACAAGTTACTGACCATTCCAGATAATGTTATACAAGTTACTGACCATTCAAGATAATGCTATACAAGTTAATGACTGTTCCACATTATGTTATACAAGTTACTGACCTTTCAAGATAATGTTATACAAATTTTCTTGGATGTCTTTCTCTATTAATCTTATATTCTCTGCTTTAAAAGGTGACTCACTTATCACATATTCAGATTAAAAGAACTTCTAGGTTAAAGTTTTTAGATTGATTAAAATGAAGCATGTGAGATTTGAAGTTGTTATCAGCATATACATATATGATATTTAAAGTTTGATATTTTACTTTTATTCCTTACTTATTTTAAAGCACTATTTAAAATTAAACAAAGTTTAATCACAAAATATGAATGTGTTATTTGATATTTTCAGGTGTGTCAGATTCTCCAGACTGTATGTAAGAAGGAAGGACTTAATTTGCCTATAGAACTAGCTAAGAAAATAGCAGAGAAAAGTAACCGCAATCTTCGTAGAGCTTTACTTATGTGTGAGGCTTGTAGAGTTCAACAGTGAGTATACCAAAAAAAAAACAATATTATTAAGCTTCAGCCTTCTGTAGGCAAACTTTAATTGTAAGCTTCATTGAAAGAAATCTGTCGTCTTTGCATTCATTCTGTTGTATTAGTTTTATAAGACTCAAAGTTAACTTGGAAGCTTCATTGAAAGAACTCTGTAGTCTTTGCATTCATTCTGTTGTATCAGTTATAGCTTTTGTAGTCAAACTTAACTTGTAACCTTCATTGATAGTCTTTGCATTCATTCTTTTGTATCAGTTTTTATGCATATAGTCGGCGCCTTGTCCGTCTGTCCGTCCGTCTGTCCGTCTGTCCGCACTCACAGGAGAGTAATTATGTGGCTAGAGGGACAATAGGTAACTGTTCTTTCTGTTTGATATCATTCATTCCGTAATGCTTTTATGTGGCTATTTTCTTTTGTGTGGCTAAAAAGAACAATAGAGAGAACAATAGAGTAGCCACATTATTACTCTCCTGTTAGAACGTCCGTCCGTCTGTCCGTCCGCACTCACAGTAGAGTAATTATGTGGCTAGAGGGACAATAGGTAACTGTTCTTTCTCTTTGATGTCATTCATTCTGTAATGCTTTTATGTGGCTATTTTCTTTTGTGTGGCTAAAAAGAACAATAGAGAGAACAATAGAGTAGCCACATAATTACTGTCCTGTGAGAACTTCCGTCCGTTGTCTTGTCCGGAGCATAACTTGAAAACCTTTGGAGATAATTTGTTGAAACTTCATACAGTGGTAGAGGGCATTGAGGGGGAGTGCAGTGTCAAAGAACCATAACTCTATTTTGCCTGGTTTTTGAATTATCTCCAATTATAGAAAAATCTTGTCCTAGGCATAACTCTAAAACTATAAGAGATATCAACATGAAACTTTGTAGCTGAATAGATCTCAATGGGTAGATGTGCAGTGCATCAGAACAATAACTATTTTTGTCCTAATTTTGGAGTTATTGCCCTTTGTTAATTTTAACACTTTGAACTTTGTCCGGAACATAACTCTAAAACTATAAGAGATATCAAGATGAAACATTGTAGGTAGATAGATATCATTGAGTAGAGGTGCAGTGAAAAGAACCATAACTCTGTTAAGCCTCACTTTTGAATTATCTCCCCTTTTAGAAAAATCTTGTCCAAGACATAGCTGTAAAACTATAAGAGATATCAACATGAAACTTTGTAGGTAGATACATCTCAATGGGTAGATGTGCAGTGCATAAGAATCATAACTCTGCCTTGCCTAATTCTGGAGTTATTGCCCTTTGTTTATTTTTACTTTTTGAAGTTGTTCGGGACATAACTCGGAAATCATAAGAGATATCATCAAGAAACTTTGTAGGTTGATAGATCACATTGATTAGAAGTTCAGTGCAAAGAACAGTAACTCTGCCTTGCCTAATTTTGGAATTATTGCACTTTGAACTTTTTCCAGGGACATAACTCTGAAACTACAAGAGGTGTACTTTCCTGTGTCCAAAACATATACGGGGAGCATCACCGGGCTCAAACCTGGCTCTTGTATAAGATTGTATCACAAGTGGAGTTGTTAGCTCGACTATACGAAGTATATGGAGAGCTGTCCTACTCGCCCCGGCGTCGGCGTCCGCGTCCAAATTAAAGTTTTGGTGCAGTAAAATATTTTTCACTATAACTTTGTCATTTCTTAAGGTATCAACTTCAAACTTCAAATATATGTTCCTTATCATCATCCAAATCTTATGTGACAAGGTTGATAACTCTAGCACAAATATTTTCAGATTTATCTCCCCTTGAACTTAGAATTTTCCTAAAAAAATACTATTTTTTACTGTTACTTCTTTATTTCTTAAGGGATCAACCTCATACTTCAAATATATGTACCTTATCATCATCCCCATCTTATGTGACAAGGTTCATAACTCTAGCACCAATATTTTCAGATTTATCTCCCCTTGAACTTAGAATTTTCCTTAAAAAATATTATTTTTTACTGTTACTTATTTATTTCTAAAGGGGTCAACTTCATACTTCAAATATATGTAACTTATCATCATCCACATCTTATGTGACAAGGTTCATAACTCAAGCACTAATATTGCAAGAATTATCTCCCCATAAACTTAGATATTTTTAACTAGAAAAATGTTATTTTTTACTACAACTTTTTTAGTTTTAAAGGTATCTACCTCAAACTTCAAATACTTATTCCTTATCATCAATTACATTTTATGTGACAATGTTTGTAACTCTTGAAGCAATATTTACAGATTTATCTTTCTTTGAACTTAGGATTTTCTTTAAGAAATATTATAACTTCTTTACTTTTTAAGGTATCTACTTCAAACTTCAAATATATATTTCTTATCATTACACACATGTTACACATGTTGTGTGACAAGGTTCATAACTCTAGCATGACTATTTCTAGAATTATTCCCCTTGATCTTGGAATTTATGATAACAAATGATATTTTTTTACTATAACTTAATACATAATTATACATAATTAGTTTTTCTTTCATAGTTTTGTCCTCCTTACTGCGTCCAGTATTTATTAGTGGAGCTTGGCTGTCTCCTGTGACAGCTCTTGTTTTATGCCCCCGCCATGTAATGGCCGGGGCATATAGTGTTACCCTGTTCTGTCCTTCCGTCATCATCGGTTTCCGTTCACTATCTTAAGAACGATTGCACACATTCAATTCAAATTTGACATATGGATATGTCATGAGAAAATACAGGTCAAGATCGAATTTGGTCATGGTTCGATGATTTTTGGCAGAGTTATGCCCCTTTTACTTTGAAAATAATATGAAATTTTCAGTTTCCGTTCATTATCTCCCCAACGGTACAACACAATCAACTCAAACTTGACATATGAATATGTCATGAAAAAATATAAAATATGCCCAGGCCAAGTTCGAATTTGGTCATGGTTCAATGACTTTTGGCAGAGTAATGCCCCTTTAACTTTGAAAATAATATGAAATTTACAGTTTCTGTTCATTATCTACCCAACAGTGTTACATATTCAACTTAAATTTGACATATGGATATGTCAAAGGAATGGGCAGGTCAAATTGGAATTTGGTCATGGTTTGATGATTTTTTGGCAGAGTTATGTCCCTTTCACTTTGAAAATAATATAGATACATCATAGGAATAAGCAGTTTAAGTTTGAATTTGGTCGTGGTTCAATGATTTTAGACAAACTTATCTTTCCTGAATGTTGGAAAAATTTTGAACTTTCAGTTTCAGCACTCATACTTTTAGCCATTATTTTGGCTACAAATATGCAATATGCTATTTTTAAAAGGTTAAGACTGAATAATTTCAGTGCCTTGAACATTGTATGAAAATGGTTTGTGTTAACATTGAAAAGTTTTAAGGGCTTTGAACTTAAAATGAAAAAAATAATTAATGCACCATCTGAAATTTTGGCTGCATGCGGGGGCATCCGTGGCATGATGACACATTTCTAGTTCTTTTAATTTTATTTGTAACAATGATGAGCAGATTATGACAATATGTAATGTAACTGTATAATGTGTTACACTTATGTGTGTGCTCATAGATATATTTAATAGGCATGGGTGCATATCATACCATACAGAATTGTAAATGTCAAATGTTCCTTTGCATCAATGGGTTGTACTATTATTACAATATTGAAATTTTCTTTCCAGCATTGTTTATGCTTTGTTTACATGTTGTTGATATGATGTATTGGTACATGTACTAATTACTGTTTAAGTGGATATTTCTACATGTGGAAAAGTTAGCAAATTTAAAATTTCAGATATTTGGCATGAAATTTTTTTGCAAATCTTGCCTGACATGTTGGTTGATATTTACACTAAGAGGAAATTTTAGCAATTTTAGTCAATTTGCAAAATTGGACAATATTTTTGCGTTGCTAACTTAACCACCTATACAGTAGTGATAATTGACAAGAATATGATTGCTGTCATTTTGTGAATTTTTTAATATTGTAAATTCTACTTCCGAACATACAGGTACCCATTTAGTGCTGATCAGGCAGTTAGTGAACCAGATTGGGAAGTTTATCTCAGAGATACTGCAAATATGATAGTTCAACAACAGAGCCCTAAAAGGTATCATACTTGCACAATATGGTCTGAAACTTTAAGTATTTGATTTTTAGCTTGACTATTGGCAGAATAATCGAGCTATTGCAGTCACCCATTTGTCGGCTTGGTTAAGTTTTTGCTTGTAAGCTTGTCTCTATAACTACTGAAGGGAATGGATTGAAACTTCACACACTTGTTCTCTGTGATTATCTTACATGATTGGCACAAGTCCCATAACTCTGATTTGCTTTCTTGCATAATTATGCCCCTTTTTCGACAGAAATTCTTGGTTAAGTTTTTGCGTGTAAGCTGGTATCTCCACAACTACTGAAGGGATTGGATTGAAACTTCACACACTTGTTCTCTGTGATTATCTGACATGATTGGCACTAGTCCCATAACTCTGATGTTGTTTTTTTTTTTCAGGAATTGTAAAACTCACTAACAGTATCAATAGACATGATCAAATTTCTTATGTCCCTACATGAATCCATAACTATAGTTAACATATATAACTATAGTTAGCTTATTTGAGAAAGAATTCTACAAACCTCAGATTTGTGACTTTTAGTGTTAGACATATGTCATTGATGTTGTAATGATTTATGTGTTAAAGTTTCTAGTATCCTATGTTAAAACAGGTTTTTACTACAACATTGTCCAGGAAAGCTTTTTTATTAACTTCCCTCATGACAGAAATACTCTTTTTCACACAAATATCACTATATTATTTATATTAATGAAAATAATAACTGTATGATTTTGTTTGAATTTGTATGGTACAAATATAAAAACCATCAGTGACAGGAAACTTTCATGACTGTCAAGAAAATGAAATCACTGTACTCTTTGTTACAAGCCTACACAATTAAATGTGTACCATGTCTTGAGATTAAAGCACCGGATAGTTCTGAACACTGTACCTTTCTTGAAAGCCATTGCATTTTAACTTTAGCCTTTTAAATAAACTCCTTTATACACTGTTTAACCACCTCCATGGTCGAGGGGTTAGAGTTGATGTCTTCTAATCCAGTTACCTCTCTGGCGTGGTTTCGATCCCTGGGAGATGCTTTGGTAGTTTAGCGCGGAGGAAGGTAGTCTAGTACTGGTGTAACTATCCAGGAACGATTGTTTAGGAAACTGCCGGCCTATATGACTGAAATACTGTTGGGAAATGGCGTAAAATGAAACAAACAAATTATACACTGTTTTGATGTAACAACATGAATCATAAATATAATCTAGGATGTTAAAATAAAGCCCAGATAATCATTCAGAGAGGAACACAATTATTATCATGTTTTACCTACAAAATTAAATGTAATATTTACATCATGTTTATTTACAGATTGTTTGAAGTAAGAGGAAGACTGTATGAACTGCTGACTCACTGTATACCAGCTGATGTTATAATGAAGGTACACAAAACTTTAATATTCTTACCTTTTATGATAAAGGTTAATTAATTTTCTAGGACTCTGAGAGATTATAATAGTTATCTTTTATTGAAGACATATAATATCAATCCGTTCAGTTGTTTTATGTTTTTGTGGCTCCTGCGCATACTATAACATAATATGATTATAACATGAAAAATGTATGAAATTTAAGTTCTTCATTTAGTAATGTAAATGATAAAGTTGAAAAATATACTCCAGAAGAACTTGTTTAAAAAACAAGGAAATAATGATTTGTTTATGCCACAGCCAGCATGTATTTCTTGCGGATTCTATACTGTTTACTGATTTATTTTAGCATTCTTGTATTGGAATCTTGTAATCAACATAGGGACTATGCAAAGATTTGGCAGAATCAAATCTTGTAATGTGATTTGTGTAAATAAAAAGTTGTTATGATAATAATGGAGCTAAAAGAGAGACAAGTTTTACATTTTATACAAATTTGTCTTATTTCGATTGTGATGGAAGCTATAAGCTTATTGAAACCCTTGAATCCTTTCGTAGAACTGACAAGTACAAATCAAAGAATGTGAAGATATTTCCTGAAGGGAACAGTGACTTTCACCTGACGTGGATTGAACCCATGCAGTCAACAATCATTAGATTATTAGTCTGACTCGTTAAGCACTTGGCCATGCTGAGAGATGTTTTAACTAAATATACAAGGATTGTTATTTCAGGGGTTATTACAGAATCTGATCAGTAGTTGTGATGGGGAGCTCAAGACAGAAGTAATTCAAACAGCTGCATACTACGAGCACAGACTTCAATTAGGACAAAAAGCAATATACCACCTGGAAGCTTTTGTGGCCAAATTTATGGCAATTTATAAACGATTTCTGGAAGAAGGCATTGCAGATATATTTTGATCACATTGTGTGTATTTGTACTGGAACATACTTTAGAAATTCATGAGGAAAGAATGTGGTTTAAACGTTAAAATGTTACACTTAATTGACACATTTCATATTTCTCATAAAAAATAGAAAGAGGAACAAGTTATAAATCTAGTAGGTGTTTATTGAGCAATGATTAGATCAGACTAAATGTGCCTTCCTTGTACTTGCATGTTACCTTGTACATAAACAATAATTTGCTATATTTATTGATATATTTTCCAATGACAGTTAATAGTTTCTTTTTTCAAGTTACCTCCCTTGCCATGTAAACGGGACATTTAAAACTGAGTTGTTTACTTAAGGACACATTATGATTGAATGATATAACAGAATGAACTTGTGGTCAGCTTAGTTAACTTACAAGTTACAAGTTGCCTGAATAAAATTATTGATACAACTAGTCTATATATTTGTCATTTTTTTATCGATCTGATATTTGCCATTTTTAAAGTGTAACTCCACTGAGGTTATAAAACTAGAACATATAAAATTTGAATTTCTAACATTGATCATCTAGGACACATACAGAAAGATGAAACATGTACTGAGAATTAAGTTAAAAATCTTTGTGCTATTCTTAGCCCTCTTTGATATAAAATCATGTAAATGCTTTTAATTTTGGGGACTTTTTTCACAAGAAAAATGATTTTTATGGAGAAACAGAATGGGCAAATAATGTGTTATTTTGCATACAGATGTATTGGTACATACACCAGAAAAAAATATTTCTAATCCCTTCATGTTTAACAAACCAAGGTGGAATCCCTTTAATCAGGTCTTGAACCATAAAGATTTGTTTCACTTTTTGCCTCGTTTCACTAATGCAAGTTGATTGATGTTTATGTGTAGACATCATGCACTGATTCTCTCTTTAAAAAAAAAGTGTTATAAAATTTTGATCAGTTGTTAAAATAGTAATTTTTCCAGCTTTGAATATGAGCAATGTGCCAAGCTTATGTTAACAACTACATGTATGTCAAAATGCAAATACTGAATGCATTATATAGTCTCAAAAAGTCAACATGTGTTGATTGAACAATGCCCCTAAATCTGACTGAATCAATGTTAAAAAAAAATCTTTTCAGGATTACTACTGAATTTCAAGTCCAAACAAAACAAAACAAAAGTTATATTTCTGGCTATATTGTTTGTACACAGAAACCCACTTGTGCTTTAATACATATAGGGCTCATCATTGTGATAGAAGTTGGAAAGTAATGCTTTAGGTTTAGTGGCATATATTGTAACTAAAACTAGAGCAGTTTATATATTTATTATTTATATGAGATTTTTGCCTTTCTGATTTAATCTGTTCACTGTAGGCAGACTGTAGATCACCCTACAGTGTGTGCCAATCTAATTAAAATCAGCTCCTAAATTATGCTATGCATTTGGACCTAACATTCACACAAGGCAGCCACCTACTCATGGCCTTTCAAACAAGTTCCAATCATTGGCAAGCTTTCATTACTTTGAAAGCAATACAATTTCTAATTTCATTTGTATTGGCACAGAATAACTCCTATGGCTTACTGAAACATTTGTCAAACTAAAAAATAGTCAGGAGGGGCAAGTGGTTTGAAGTCAACGACCTTAACCACTCGGGTCACAACTTGAAAGCAACTAAAAATTTTCTGAGTAATTCTGAAGTAAATCCCAAGTACCTTTCAGTAAGATATAAAAAAAAACAAAGTATATGGTTGTATGTGTAAAAGGCTTTATTTCAAAGATAAAAGTGTATGATAAAATTGAATTTCATTAGAATCAATCGAGGCAATATTGTACATTATCCTTGCAGACATACATGTAGCATTTCATTTCTATGTGATAATGCATATATAAATTTTACAGTAAACTTAACTGTAAACAAGTGATAGCATAATGATATGTTGGACAGTTAAAAATTTAAAATGCGTAAATATAATATTAAAACAGGTACAGAATAACCCAATGAAAGGTGTGAAACAGTTAAAACTTAAAAACCCAATGAAATATTAACATCTAGGCTAGAAAAAGAATTTATCAAGTTATATGCCAGCATTTACAAGCCTAAGAATATGGGAATACAAATGGACTTCCAAAAAATCAAATAAATTGTGTGTCCTTAGACAAAGTATAATACAACAACTTGTCTTTATTGATTTAACTAGCATCCATTATCTTATATTTCATATGTTGATAACTATTTGACATCTTGTGTAAGCATAGATTTCATCAATGAGATATACATGTAATTGATATTTTTCACAACTAGAAACTCAATCAGGTTGTCTCTTATAAACTATAAGATACTTCTACACATATATATTACCTGTAAAATAACCAAAAAATAATTTATTTAAGTACACAAATTAATACTGTCCTTGAATCAGCGCAGTCTGATCAGGATCCATGCTGTTCGCTTACAAACTCTATAACAAGTAGGGAAACTGATAACGAACAGCATGGATCCTGATCAGACTGCGCGGATGCGCAGGCTGGTCTGGATCCATGCTGGTTGCAAACCCATTATGTTGGTTTTGGCGTGACGCGGCTCATATTAATATTATGCTTATTTTTTGCTGTCAGGATGAGATAATTAGCTGTATATTTCTAAATGGTGATTGACCAAGAGTTGATCATGATCAAACATATTCTGGCAAAAAAAAAACAAAAACGAAACAAACTGCCTGAACTATAAATACTGCACCACTCTTGAACTCCGACGTCTCTTTATAGAAATTCCATTGACTCATATGTTTTATTATTTACTCATGTAAAGCGGAAAATAAAATTGAAAACAATCATGGCAAAATGTAATGTAAATGTTATTTTGACTTTTACTTGGACACTCACCATTTACATTTGAATTGGCATAAAGTCACTTAATTGAAATATACAATAAAACAATTTATACTTCAAGATTTACCCTAATTCGCAATTTTTCCTTAAACCTAGTTTTTTATTTTTGTTTTATGCGAGTATACAATGAATTTCTGTCTGTAAAACAAAGGTCAAAATACATGTAATAAACAGAAAACTTTAAACTGTTGCAATTATATTAAACCCGAACATAGCTGATGAGATACTCTGGATACACCTGCGTTCTATCATAAACGACAAACTCCCGGAAGTTCCAGCCTCCATCCCCTACCACAGAATCAAAGAAACTGTTATCAGTGCACGAGCACTTGTCCATGTAGCACTGCATACAGGGAGCACGTGCAAAAGCTTTGGGCTGATTTACAACATACATTTTGCCAAGGCACATCCTGATTAGAAACATTTTCTTCTCACCGCTTGTTCTGTTTGTTTTCGGATCTGTAAATGAAACAATAGAAAGTGCTGAAAGTTTTATTTTTTAATTTGAGGGAATTTGATAAAAAAAATACGTAAATTAAGCAGTAACCATATCATATGTATCATTCTAGTGGACCGTCATGTGCACTGGCCATACTCTATACTGGTGGCATATGCACGTCATTTCTGGTGTTAATGTCAAATAACTTGTTTTCTTGGTAAATTAAGATGTTAAAAAAGACAAATAATAAATTATTTCACATAGAAATTTCTATTGTTAATTTAAGTGAAATACTTTAATATAGTAAATCTTAGAAGCCAACAGAATAGATTTTGATCAATCTACATGTACACAGGTTTGCTAGGGCTATATACTTGAGATATTAACATGCCGGTATCATAAATTTCTATAATACATCCATCACAGACCATAATTGTATTACATATATCAGACTTAAACTTTGTTTTATTTTAAAGCAGATTATCATGAAGTTATAGGCAAGTTACCTGCATATTGGTCTGACTTTGTTGAACTTTCAGCTGCGTATACCCCTTGTCCAAACATGGCTGATGCTCCACCCAGCCTACAGTCCAGTCCTTGTTTAATAATTGTATCTACGACAGATTCCAATGTTCCATGAAACATATAATGTTCATTGATCTCTAGATGTATATCTCTACTTAGAGCAGAATCCTTTGGTATACTACTGGTGGTCATTATTTTCCCACTTGAACCCTTCACTTTGTCTAATCTTGTAAATTCTCCTTGTTTTGAAGCTTGGTGGAACAAATCCTGTCTTTTTAGGGCATACTTCTCAAAAAGTTCACAGTTTTCTATCCTTTCTACCTTTGTTATTCTTATATTAGAATAGTTCAGACTATCAAGACCCTTAGCATCGCGACCTTGACCTACATGTTGCTTCTGCCATGTTTCCAAGGCAACTTTTTTTACAGCGTCAAAAGTCTGTTGATCAACTAGTATACGTTTAGGTCTAACATCATCACAATCTAACCTCCAATCTTTCAATGTTTTATTGTCAGTGAACTCTGTCCAGTAGCCTGGTGACCTTGGGTTAGTCTTGTATTGGTGTTTGAACCAGTCTTTCGTTCCTTTAGGCGGGGCAACAGTACGTTCAAGGGAGTTCTTCGCTGCCATCTCTAGCAGTCTGTACATGGCTTTATTGTTAGATTCCTCATCCTCTTCATCTTAAATAATGAAACAATATAGCTTGCTGATATAACTTATCATAAATGAAACAATATAACTTGCTGATATATAACTTATCATAAATGAAACAATATAGCTTGCTGATATATAACCTATTATAAATGAAACAATATAGCTTGCTGATATATAACTTATTATAACTGAAACAATATAACTTGCTGATATATAACTTATTATAAATGAAACAATATAACTTGCTGATATATAACTTATTATAAATGAAACAATATAGCTTGCTGATATATAACTTATCATAAATGAAACAATATAGCTTGCTGATATATAACTTATTATAAATGAAACAATATAGCTTGCTGATATATAACTTATTATAAATGAAACAATACAACTTGCTGATATATAGCTTATTATAAATGAAACAATATAACTTGCTGATATATAACTTATTATAAATGAAACAATATAACTTGCTGATATATAACTTATTATAAATGAAATAATTCTTACATACTTAAGTTACTAATAATAGAAAATCTTCTATGAATAAATCTTCCAGTACTTCACTTCTGGTTTTAATTTCACAAGAATTTCAGATTTATTAACAACTATATTCAAATAATTTTTTTTTATCTTTATAAATGTTAACCTTACCATCTGAATCATGATCCAAAGCTTTACTCAATTCTTGTTCATAAGCCTGTAATTCAAATTAAGAATTATTTTGACTGGTGAACTCTCACCTTACCATTAATGCAATAAAACAATTATTAATCTCTAAAAAAGGAAATTAAAACAGGTTAATAAATGATTGATTGTAAATGATAATTAATTAGATATAATACTTGACTAAAACAATATTTGTATATAAAATATAACGTATCATAAAAATTTACCACTTCAGATTTCAATACTTACAGCCCTAATTTTCTTCCAGTTGTCTCCCTTGTTATACACAACGATAATAATATCAGAAATGCATGTATTAGAACATGTGTTCTGGTGTTTTTTGATACATTCAAACATAGTTTGAGCACTGATTCTGGCCGGGTACGAGGGGGAACCTGTCCCCAGTGTCGGGAATGCCAATGTTTGAAACTGATCCCTCTCCGCTTGCTTTAGACAGTTGCATATAAATCTACACAGTGGCTAAAATGATAAAGAAGATATATACGCACAAATAATAATACATCATTACTACATCACAGTATTGTTGAAAGTCTTAAAATATTGCATACAAACATATACAAATTAGATATTGATAAAAACAACATTTTTTTCATGAAATTCTAAGTTTTCTAGTTTTATAAACTTTTTGAGTTATCACAAATATTGTTATTTTTTCTATATTTTCTGTCTATTTGCTGCCATAGCAACCATTATTTTCAAGACAAGAAGAAAACTATGCATTATCTCCACACTGCCATTTACCTATACTTCAAGCTTCATATAAATATTGTCAGTATTTTTTGCATTATCACGCGATCCAGTTTTTGTGTTATATTTGCTGTAATTTAAGTTTATTTATTGTCATAGCAACAAAATTTTTCAACATAGGAAGCAAAAAAGAAATATACATAATCTCCAGACTGACTGCCATCATATGATCTACATATATTTCAAGCTTCATAAAAATATTTGCAGTACTTTTGCATTATCATGGGATCCATTTTTGTGGATGGACAGACAGACAGACAGGCTGACAAAGGGTAAACCTAAATTCTCTCCAGTTAAACCAGTAGGTGACTAATAATCTATTACATAACATTATAATATTGATATACCTTTTTAGCACTAGCAGATTTGTTATTATTCCAGGTAGGTAAAGTTCCATGATAGACTCTGCTAGCTTTGAGACTGTAACCTCCTGTGCTAGCTATTTCCCCGCCTTGTATACCATGTGGGTAGCACTCATCACATTCTTCCTAAATATATAGAAAGAAGCATTTGAGCTGCGCCATGACAAAACCAACATAATGGATTTGCGACCAGCATGGATCCAGACCAGCCTGCACAGTCTGATCAGGATCCATGCTGTTCGCTATCAGTTTCTCTACTTGTAATAGGGTTTATAAGCGAACAGCATGGATCCATCCATGCTGGTCGCAAATGCACTATGTTGGTTTTGTTATGGCACAGCTCATTTACTAACTTATTTGCATAAAGAAATGTCAAAGATATCTTTATTTCCAAATAAAGTTTGTATTTCTATATTCATTACCACACAAATTTTGTGTAATAAATTTGTACTACTCTGAAGTTAAAGCTGAAACAGTCATATTTCTGATACATACAAAGTATGTGTTTTACTTCAAGAAGAGACGACAACAAAACTTATGCAGGCAAATTAAAATATTCTTATTAGTTTACATAATTTGCCTGCTTTACATTTTTAATACTCCAGTAAAAACTGGAATGCTATTGGCAAAATGAAATTTTTAAATACATTGCATAATGCATAAAACAAATACTTTGCATGTTGCATATTTTCTGGAATTACTGTAAAAAGTTTGTATAATGATATTGATCAAAGTGTAGCACTTGCAGGTAGATTACTAAATAATGTACTAGTATGAGATATACATGTTACACTTATATTGTTCTCCCTATATATTACTATGAAGTTCAGCAGCTGACTATATATATAGTTCAGTCAGACTTCGTTTGTTTTTTTAAAGTTAGATTTCAGTGTCATGGTCTCTATAATTGACATTACGCCAAGGAAGGGATCGCTCCGCCCTCTGATTCACGTGACCCGGTCAGTAAGAACCTTAGACAAAATACGTACCAATGTATTCGCAAAACTGTTATGCCACTAATGTTACCAATGAATTTACCTTATATAAAGTGTGTATATATAAAATTTTGATGCTTTTAATATTTTATTGAATAGTAGATCAATTATTCAATTTATAAATGTATTATGGTATTTAAAAAGAGGGGAAAAATATATGCATTCATGTATTAATAACACATGAAACGTTTTACGAAGATCGTGTCATTTCTTGTCTTTCAATGAAAATTTAAAACTGACAAAATATCACTATATCTTACAAATTCAAATAGAGATTATATGTAAAAAAAGTATATGATTATGTTATGATCGTTTTATTTTGAAACTGAAGTAACAAAACAGTAAAGTTATATTAGTGACACAAATAAATTTAAAATCATTTTCCGGGTTTTATGTGTGAAATTCGGTTTAGATAATACATTAATTTGTTCATGAATTGTTAAAATTGATTCAGAAAATTGCATGCCCTTGCTTACTTTTTATGATATGTGATTCTGTATTGTTAACATATATTTAATATGATTCACGACAAAATACAACGTTATTCTCTTTAAAATACATCAGACATGATGTTATTGGTATAAGTTTCGTATTAAGCAGATCTATTTGAATATTTAATTTTCATTTATTGAACTTGAATAGAAATATTCAGGTAAAATAATTTCACCCACTTTTTGGTTGTATTTACTCATTATATTTGCATTTTTACGGCTGCGTTTTACTGACGCTATGTGTTATAAACGAAAAAAATGTCATATCTTCTGGATGTTCTAGGACCTGGTAATATGTAATGTGATTATTAATAGATAGAATGGAATAAAAAAGTGGATTTGTTTAAACCATTTCATTTTTTAATGCATTGTATTATAGCCAGGATAAATATTTCGTACTTATTATTTCCATATGTAGGAAATTATTGACTTTTTGTATACATGTACTCGATCTGTCAATACATCAGTATATTTGGTAACTTAATTAATTTATCAATAAAAAAGCTTTAAATTGACAGAAAATTAAAATAATTTCAATTTAAATTACTTCTGCACCATTTTCCTTAGACAAGTAGCTTGTCTAAGGAAAATGGTGCACTTCGCAGGCATCTTAGCATGGAACTGATAACGATGGCTGATTGGCTTATCTCTGTGACCCCTACCAGCTTGATTGACAGGCGGCGTAATGTCAATTGCAATAAAACAAAATGTTAAAACTGACCTGGAGACCAGGGCCTGCAGCATCAAGTATTGCATTAGATAGTGCCCCACTATCTAGCTGTAAATCTTCCTGTGTGTTGTTTATAATAACATCAGCCTGTATGTTATAAAGAAAGCAATTCAACATAAAATTATACAAATAAATATAACATTTTAAACATTTACTTTACAAACTTATATAACTTTGCTCAACCTAAGGTTCATATCTCCACAACTAAAAGGATTTTGTATGATTGAAATAAACAAATATGCTTCTTACTGTCACAATTTCTTGAAGACTAATAATAATTGTAAACAACTGCAATATATCTGAACTATATTGCTGGTGACCTTCATAACCTGGACATGTCTTAGCTTAAAGTTATTTATTGCACACTGGAATTAACCGCCAGCATTGTTACTAGAGAAATTTATAAACCCTTGTTCTGCTGAATATCCGACATGGACTTATTCAACTTTCCTTCACTCTATTATCAATTTCAGGGTTATCAAAATGAAAATTTTGAAGTTTGCAAGCCGAGAGTAAAAAGCTCCATAAAACTGCATGGGTGTGTCATAACCTATATTAGTGGCAAAGACTTTGAAATTGTTAGCTGAGAAGTAATTTTGTTCAATTTAATAGTAACTGATATAATATTTTTAAGCTACCAGTGAATTATACAAATGTCAATGACGTTGTTTATTTGTTTATGGCCTCCAGATCATGTGCAAAAATACAATACACAACATATTAACAAAGCATACAAATGTCTATAAATTACTGTTACAGACAACAATATGAGCCGTGTCACAACAAACCCAACATAATGGGTTTGCGACCAGCATGGATCCAGACCAGCCTGCCCATCAGTGCAGTCTGATCAGGATCCATGCTGTTCGCTAACAGTTTCTCTACTTGCTATAGGTTTTGTAAGCGAACAGCATGGATCCTGATCAGACTGCGCGGATGTGCAGGCTGGTCTGGATCCATGCTGGTCGCAAACCCATTATGTTGGTTTTGTCGTGACGCGGCTCATATTTAGACTGAACTTTAATGCTAAGTTTGATAAGAGAATGTAACTGTACCTGGAAACTGGTTAGTTCTCCTACTTTAATACTGACATTGATATTTCCTATTGAATCCCTCCCGTCCCCTCCACCATTAGACACTGAAATATGCAAAAAATAAAAAAATTCTTGTGAATATATAAAACTGATACTACTGTTTAATTAATATGTATGTTCATCGTTCAAATCATTCCAAATTCAGTACATACTATACTGTATAGTAAAAAATTTCTGGCTGCTAAGCAGATTATTTTAGATTTTTATTTTTACCGGGACATAAATCACCTCCCGGACAGATAACTTATTTCCGGGACAATCCGGTACATTAAGGCATATATGCTATACATTATATCTCAGTTCTAAATGAATGACATACAAGTAAGTTTCTTCATTAATATTACATCTGATTCTTAAGTAAAAGTAAATCAAGGCTTACAAAATATTCTATACAATATTAGTTATAAAGATTTTTGACAAGTTATGTGACCCTACAGAAACAGTTGTTTGCATAATTATATAAACCAGAACTTCTAGGTGAGGGTTATATTGCAAATAACCATTTATATATGGTCATTTAACATATCAATAAACTTTATAATGAACTTATAATACAGAAACTCCTTTTTTGTCAGAAAAATGAAATTACTTCATGAATTGACAGCAGTCATATACATGAACATAGTTTATATACATGTCATGATTATCCAATGAAAATTGATGTTACAATCTTGCAGTATTATGAACAGAGAAATAATATTTAGCAGCTTCTGAGCTCTATATAGCTTATATAGCAAAAGGTGAAAAGCGTCATAAAATAAAATCTGCTATAAACTCACTCAAAGGTTAACAATATACAATTTTATCAATGCACAAAGTCATGAAATAAAACTTAATTTTGATAAAAATAGTCACATAAAATTGATGTACATGAAATAATGTTGGATTATCAATTATCATCAATAAATTAACCTTAAAACTTATCCAGTGTTGATTATTTGTTCCACTTGATTCATTATGCTTAGTAGAATATCATTTAGCTAAAAAGTATTTTACTAACAGAAAAGTGTCATACATAATAAACGTTTCAGAGGAAGGTATTCAGGAAAGGTAAAATCTTAAGTATGGTACAGATGTTAAATATTGTGTATATACAGTACTGAATATAAACACTGTGTTATTGCAGATCGATAACAAGGGCTGTCAATAAGACAGAATGCTCAAATAATCTCAGTGCTTGACAGTATGAACAAGGGTGCCATAGTCACAAAATACGCCCGTTTACTAAAAAGCTTTAGATGGAGATGGGGGCATTATGGATAAGTGTTATCTAGCAAGCAAGTTTTTATTCTTGGCACTGTGTTGTTAAATGAACCTTAAAACAAATCAATAGGGAAGATATGCACAGAATGTGTGACCTTGACCTTGGTCGCAGGGACCTGAATTTTATGCACGGCACTCAGCCTCACAATGATGAACATTTGTGCCAAATTATATTGAAATCCCTCTATGCATGTAGAAGTTTTGCTCCAGACAAGTGTTTTTCTATGAGCTCTAACTGTGACCTTCACCTTTGACCTAGAGACTTGGTTTATGTGCAGGGCACTACGTCTCATGGTGGTGAACAATTCTATAAAAGTAACATTAAAATTCCTCCATGCATGTAGAAAATATGCTCCGGACAACATCTGGATATTTAATCATCTCCAGTGACCTTGACCTTGCAAATATTAACCTAAATTAAATGTGTAACACCTGTAGTCATGATAGTTACCATTTGTGCTACAATCCATCAATAAATGATGACTAAATGGTCCCTATAACCATCTTCAAATTTTTATCTGAACTTTGACCTCTATGTGTAACCTTGACTTTGGTCGCAGGGAACTGAATTTTGCATGCGACACTCAGCCTCACAATGGTGAACATTTGTGCCAAGTTATATTGAAAACCCCCTATGAATGTAGAAGTTTTGCTCCGGACAAGCGTTTTTCAATGAGCTCTAAGTGTGACCTTGACCTTTGACCTGGAGACCTGGATCATGCATGGAGCAATACATATCATGGTGGTGAACATTTCCATAAAGTATTATAAAAATTCTTCCATACATGTAGGAGATATGCTCCAGACAAAATCTGGATATTTCACCATCTTTAGTGACCTTGACCTTGCATATATTGACCTAAAGTACATGTGTCACAGCCGTAGTCATTATAATGACCATTTGTGTTACAATCCCTCAATAAATGATGATTAAATCCTCCCTATACACATCTTCATATTTTTATCTTTTTTTAAACGGGCGTATAAAAAGTACATGTAATTAAATAACTAAAAAATTCTGATTTTAGATTTTATTCCAGGGAAATACAATTCATTACAATTCTTAATCTTAGAATGAGCTGAACTGATATTTACTTGAAAATTAAAATATAATTAAATTTCTATGAGAAAGTATTTACATTTGATAAGGTAATTACTGTATGATCTTTATGAACAAATACCAAGTCTACAGAACACCATAGTTATCACAGTTAAGAATCTTGACCAATGAATGAAACATGTGTAAATAAATGTTACATTCTTTAGAACATACTCAAGTCCAAGAAAGAGGATTATTTCATGCCCTTTGATTAAATTCTATTTTTAGAATTGAAAGTGAAAATAGATCAAGGGGAGTAATTGTGTAAGTCATTTATGAACAAAGTAATAACTTTGTTGTCTCCCTTTGATTAAATTCTATTTACAAAATCTGGATATTTCATCATCTTTAGTGACCTTGACCTTGTATATATTGACCTAAATTATATGTATCACAGCCATAGTCTTGATAATGACCATTTGTGTTACAATCCCTCAATAAATGATGACTAAATGGTCCATATACACATCTTCATATTTTTATCTGAACTTTGACCTCTATGTGTGACCTTGACCTTGGCCGCAAGGACCTGAATCTTGCACGCGACACTCCGCCTCACAATGGTGAACATTTGTGCCAAGTAATATTGAAATCCCTCTATACATGTGGAAGTTTTTGCTCCGGACAAGCATTTTTCAATGAGCTCTAAGTTGTGACCTTGACCTTTGACCTAGAGACCTGGTTCATGTGCGCGACACTGCTCCTCATAGTGGTAACCATTTATATGAAGTTTCATTAAAATCCCTCCATACATGTAGGAGATATGCTCCGGACAAAATTGGACGCCGCCCGCCCGCCCGCCCGACCGCCCGCCCGCCAGGGGCGTTCCCATAATACGTCCCGTTTTTCAAACGGGCGTATAAAAAGGGTATAACTCTGTAAAAAGTTAACTCAAGATTTAAATGACCTGTGCCAATCATGTTAGATAATCATAGGGAGAAAGTGTATGAAGCTTCAACCCTCAAGTAGATTTGGAGATACCAACTCCAGGATGAGTACAATAGCTCTTGCTATTCTTAAAATAATCAAACTAAAAATGGGTCAAAGACAGAAAAGGCCGGGTTGCATTTGTGTACCACATATCATGATGCTGTGATGTTACAAAAAAAAATTACCACTGACCATTAATGTCGAACATTAACCAAGTCGGTAAACAGGAAGTGGATGAACAACAGACCTGAAATCGAATCCCACTGTATAGGACCACGTGTCAATGCTGTATGCAAAATATTAAGAGGCTGTGATAAGAAGTTGCTGAGAAAACTGTTACGAAATTTCCTACCATTGACCATTAATGTCGAAAATTTAACTAAGCCTATAAACAGAAAGTGGATGAGCGACAGACCTGAAATTGAATCCCACAGTATGGGACCATGTGTCAATGCTGTATGCCAAATATCAAGAGGCTGTGATTAGTAGTCGCTGAGAAAACTGTTACGAAAATTTCCAACCATTGACCATTAATGTCGAAAATTTAACTAAGTCGATAAACAGAAAGTGGATGAGCGAGAGACCTGTAATCGAATCACACGGTATGGGACCACATGTCAATGCTGTATGCCAAATATCAAGAGGCTGTGAGTAAATCTCAAGTAGTTGCTGAGAAAACTGTTACTAAAAGTTTTTCCCCGCCTACCCGCCATCCGCCTGACATTCACCATACTATAACCCCGGTTTGCACCTGTGCAACCCGGCCAAAAATTAAGCAATGAGAAATGTTTTTATTACTGTCTTATTCTAATTAAAAAATACTATCATTAAACCTATGCATGATGTTCATCATTATACATGAATGCTAGGCACCCCACATATTTTGCATAATCTCCCCGCATATGGAGTTTTCTAAAAAGTTAACCAGCAATTTTCAATTCTAAGCAAAATGATCAACATCAAAATTTTCAAAAAAGGATGATTTTCATACAAAATATATGTAAGAAGTGTAGCAAATCAGGAGTGCTTTCATGACTTGTTTTGGCAATGTTATATATCGTTCTACCTTTCAGGTAGATAAATTGTCTATATATGTATATTAATATGATAACAAGTAAATGGTGAAATGTTCAATGTATAGCATGTAGGTGCTTATTAGCTTAATAAACAATAAAATATAACCTTTTGAAAACACTGAAATTACAAACAAACATTGCATATTAAATAGTAAGACATGAACAAGAAATAAACTAACTATTCATGGTAATTTTGAGGTTTGTCCACAAAAGGCTTCAAAGTGCTTTTGTCATTGGTCTATATTTACCTACATTGAAAGGGTTTAAACTTAATTATTAAACATCTAAATAAAGCCTGGAATTTTTATTGCTATTTCAAATCCTAACCCAGTAAAATGTTTCACAAAAATGTATAAAAAGTTAATATTTAAAAGAAACTGATTCTGGTACCATTTTCTAACAGTTGTCTCCCTTTAACTGTAGAATGTGTATTTGAAATAGTTAAAATTTTAGAAATTGTAAAACTGATATACTTAAATTGAGCACCAAATAGTACAAAACCTGGACTGATAGATGTAAGATATAGACAGGTTTGGTTGAATGCTGATATCATAGTTCCACCATTACAGGTGCAACTAGTACACAGATTTCATACTTGAATATTAAACAGAAAAAATATCAATACATGTTAAAACTTACTTTGCCTAGATACAATAGATCTCATTCCAATGGCGTTCTTAGCTTTAACTCCGCCTGAAGCCCCGCCTTGACTGCTTTTTGAGGACCGTGACCTAGCCTCCTGCTCAAAAGCCTAAAATGTAAGCAACATATATTTTCTTTAATAGGAAAATTTACATATTTTCTTCTTACATTAGTTTGGTTATTCAAACTGGTGTTTACTTATTATTTAAAGAGAAAATATAGAAAAAAAAAATTTAACATGCAGAAATATAAGATGACTTTAAGTACCATATGATTTAATAATACATGTAATGCATATTTTGTGTCCTGACTAGACCTACAATGTAGCTATAGATATATTAAACAAAATAAATTTGTGACATTTTTTTTCTACATAAATGATATAGAATTTTAACAATTATACAAATAGATAAATAAATAAATATATACATTATATATAAAGACAACCCAACTTACAATGAGGTAGATATATAGATATAAATTTGATAGCCTTGTCACTATGAAAAAAACTATATGGATCATACACACGTCAAAAACGCAACAAACAAACAACCAAACCCTGCTAACCTGCTATAACTGAGATGATATCTCACCACCAATAAGTCGGGTGGGGGATGGAGAAATCACTATGACTTTGTTAGTAATACCCCCACGAATGCCGACTGACTGACCCCTCGTAAGTCCTTATTAATGTAAATTAACGGTTGGAACAAAACGTTTTCTTAAATCTCAGTAACAAAACTTAGGGTATCACAATGGCGTAATTTTCTTTCAAATGACAATACAAAGTGCATTACCCACGGTTTTGTGGGTTTTTGAAACATGTTTGATTTGTGTGAAATTCACATTCGGATAGTAATTCGCAGGACAAGCGACTTATAACTGGAACCAAACATAACTGAAAAAGCTCCTTTTGGCAAATAATTATCTTAGCTCAATTTTTGTATCTTGATAGTAAAATCCATTTATATTTAAAATGGACTGTTCCAAGTTCAAAGCGGGAGGGAGTTACATGCTTTACACAAATTCAGCAAGTAAAGGGCTTACATTAAAGGAGGCATTATCCTGATATTTAACTTACATTAAAGGAGGCATTATCCGGATATTTAACTTACATTAAAGGAGGCATTATCCTGACATTTAACTTACATTAAAGGAGGCATTATCCTGATATTTAACATACATTAAAGGAGGCATTATCCTGATATTCAACTTACATTAAAGGAGGCATTATCCTGATGTTTAACTAACATCAATTGAGGCATTATCCTGATATTCAACATTACATTAAAGGAGGCATTATCCTGATATTTAACATACATTAAAGGAGGCATTATCCTGATATTTTAACTTACATTAAAGGAGGCATTATCCTGATATTTAACTTACATTAAAGGAGGCATTATCCTGATATTTAACATACATTAAAGGAGGCATTATCCTGACATTTAACTTACATTAAAGGAGGCATTATCCTGATATTAACTTAAATTAAGGAGGCATTATCCTGAATTTAACTTACATTAAAGGAGGCATTATCCTGATATTTAACTTACATTACAGGAGTCATTATCCTGATATTCAACATACATTACAGGAGGCATTATCCTGATATTTAACATACATTAAAGGAGGCATTATCCTGATATTCAACATACATTACAGGAGGCATTATCCTGATATTCAACATACATTACAGGAGGCATTATCCTGATATTCAACATACATTAAAGGAGGCATTATCCTGATATTCAACATACATTAAAGGAGGCATTATCCTGATATTCAACTTACATTACAGGAGGCATTATCCTGACATTTAACTTACATTACAGGAGGCATTATCCTGATATTCAACATACATTAAAGGAGGAATTATCCTGACATTTAACTTACATTAAAGGAGGCATTATCCTGATATCTAACATAAATTAAAGGAGGCATTATCCTGACATTTAACTTACATTACAGGAGGCATTATCCTGATATTTAACTTACATTACAGGAGGCATTATCCTGATATTTAACTTACATTAAAGGAGGCATTATCCTGATATTCAACTTACATTACAGAAGGCATTATCCTGATATTTAACTTACATTACAGGAGGCATTATCCTGACATTTAACTTACATTAAAGGAGGCATTATCCTGATATTCAACATACATTACAGGAGGCATTATCCTGATATTCAACTTAAATTAAAGGAGGCATTATCCTGATATTTAACTTACATTAAAGGAGGCATTATCCTGACATTTAACTTACATTAAAGGAGGCATTATCCTGATATTTAACTTACATTAAAGGAGGCATTATCCTGATATTTAACATACATTAAAGGAGGCATTATCCTGATATTTAACTTACATTAAAGGAGGCATTATCCTGATATTTAACTTACATTAAAGGAGGCATTATCCTGATATTTAACATACATTAAAGGAGGCATTATCCTGATATTTCACTTACATTAAAGGAGGCATTATCCTGATATTCAACTTACATTAAAGGAGGCATTATCCTGATATTTAACTTACATTAAAGGAGGCATTATCCTGATATTCAACTTACATTAAAGGAGGCATTATCCTGATATTTAACTTACATTACAGGAGGCATTATTCTGATATTTAACATACATTAAAGGAGGCATTATCCTGATATTTAACATACATTAAAGGAGGCATTATCCTGATATTCAACTTACATTAAAGGAGGCATTATCCTGATATTTAACTTACATTAAAGGAGGCATTATCCTGATATTCAACTTACATTAAAGGAGGCATTATCCTGATATTTAACTTACATTAAAGGAGGCATTATCCTGATAAAAGACTATAATGTTGACATATTTTAGAGATGTATTAGGTGTACTATTGCTGAAGTCCTCAACATACTGCAATGTCCAATGAGCCACTTTGTCTGCTGGGTACTTTAAAAGTCCGGTCCCAAGGGCAGGGAATGCTATTGACTCACAATTGTTGTCACTAGCACACTTTATACATTTCTTTAATAAAGTCTCCAATCCCTGAAATATAGGACAAGAAGATTATCATCATAAACATTGATTGCTGGAGAGAACTGTAGAATTCGAGTTGTCAAAACTTTTATCCAGAAAGTATATTTTAACTTTTTTTTCTTTTTTTTAGCAATTCACGAATTAACGTTTTAACATTAACCTAAAAAAAATCAAGCACAATATCAAGAGAGTATGCACAACTATGCTTGGGGCCTCATCTGTGCCAAAAACAAGATTAGCAGACAGATGGATAGAAGGACAGCATTATAATCAATAAACCCACATTTTTGTTTGTTTCATTTTACGCCTTTTCCCAACAGTATTTCAGTCATATAGGTGGGTAGTTTCCTAACCATCGTTCCTGGAGAGTTACACCAGTACTAGACTACCTTCCTCCGCGCTAAACTACCAAAGCATCTTAAACTAACATAAATTACTGTGAAAACACTGAAATAATTTATATATAAGAGTATACATCAGATACATATGATATTGCCTACCTTCTGCTCATCATGTCCTGTTCCCCAAACAGGAAGTGCAACAAAGTATACTTTTTTACAAGGTAGATTTCCAGCATTTACCACAGCTATCTCATCATATTCTATACCGTCAGGGTACTGCTGCTCACAGTCATCTTTCATCATGGAACCAGCCTTCTCCAACAGTGCCTTGGACGCCCTCCCTCGACTCAGGTCCAGATTTTTGCTGGCTGTGCATACTATTACATCACTCTGTTAAATAAAAATGATGAGCAACAAAATATTATTTAAGGTATGACCATCCTTATGCATTATCTCCACTTTGAAGAGTACTAAAACAGGCTACAAATCTACAAATACTGTCAACTGCATTGAAACTGAGAGTTGTCAATTCAAACCCAGGAGGTTCTCAATTTTTTCTTTTTCTTTTTTTCTTTTAACATTATTTATGTATCATTTACATCCCTTTTTGAAAATAAAGTTTTTAATCTTAAATACATGTATATAATTATTAAAGGTACATGTATATAATTAATTTTAAGTATATAGTTACTTTGGGTATTTATTGCCAAATTATTGCTAAATTCATTTACTTATTTGGTATATCATAGATTATTCAGAGCCCAGGTTTTAATATCCAAGCTTTTATTCAGAAAAGTCTTTGAAGCTTACAGTAAATTTTGTTTATTTCTTTTTATGTAGGTGTCCTTTAAGGCATATAAATGACCTATGTTGTCATTTTTAGCTCCTTATAGTACCCATTAGAATGGACATACCTTAACTATCTGTATAATTATATGAGCTGCGTCATGACAAAGCCAACATAGTGCCTTTGTGACCAGCATGGATCCAGATGCGCAGACTGATCAGGATCCATGCTGTTCGCTATCAGTATCTCTACTTGTAATAGGGTTTGTAAGCAAACAGCATGGATCCTGATCAGACTGCGCTGATGCGCAGGCTGGTCTGGATCCATGCTGGTCGCAAACGCATTACGTTGGTTTTGTCATGATGTGGCTCAATTATATAGATACTAGAAACAGAATAATGTTGTGTCATAGGAATCAATATACAACTATTTTGTCTTGTTTAAAATATGACTCATTTTCATGGGAAACCAAAAATGAGATCACTTAACAAAAACAGGTAAATACAGTCTATAATACACAGTTGACACTGTCTAAAATGACCATTATTGGGGTGAAAACTTGAAGTTAATTTTGTACTGTAACAAATAAAATATTGTTGGTGATTTAAATAGCAGGAAACTTAGTTTCCTATACAGATTTTTATCTATACTGTACATTTAAATTTTACTGGTTTTTTTTCAGATGGTCATCATAACAGGTATAACTGTAACAGTGAATACAAATCATTTCATTTAATATTTAAATTTATGATAAAATCCAATCCATGTTTTCAAAGAAAAACCCATGTAACTAAGAACAACTTGTGTTTCAATAAACAACTTGACATTCAAGTGTTAGTGGAAATAAAGCAGTACATTGTAATAGTTTTAACAAGTTCAGGAAAGTAAATAACTAGCTGTTTAAGTTAGACAAACTCTTGAATTTAGTCGGGCTCTCATTGTTGGTCATAGGCACATCATTTCAACTGCCACTGTATAGAAATTTCAACAAAAAAAATTGGAAAATTATGACAAACATATTAAAACAATATTTTTTAGTCAATGGCCTACCCTGATGTCCTTACAATTTAGTCCCAGTTTAGATCTCTTTTATACTGGGCAGCTGCATCCTTTCTACCAGTTTTAATTAAGTCATTTTCACTTTTATCTTAGTCTTGTAATTTTCTTATAACTTACTTTTTATCTTATACCTATAAATTTGCACTTAACACATTTGTTTTTTTGACAATGTGCCAGCTTAGTATAATGGTAAACGATTTTGAAGCAGTATGATGTAGATGTAAAATATATTACCTTTTCAATAGTAAGGTCTCCTTTTATTATGCACACATTGATGTTAGCTGCACCTAGAGGTACTCTCTTCCTTTCATTAAAATTCATGTTTCTATGTTTAGTTTGTTGTTTCCCCTTGCAATGTGCCGGTCTAGTGCCTCCTTTTGAGCCTCCACCTTCAAAACAATCTTCTATATTACATTTATTGTATAATCAAATTCTCAATATTCTCAAAAAACTGGCTTGCCACTTAACAATTTACAAACTTACCACCAGAGAGAAGAAGGCTGCACATATTCTCTAATGACAAAGCCATTTTCTATAAGTCATCTCTTTAATATAATCAACTCGTGCTACTTCATTTTAACTTTAAGCTCTTTATTTTGAAGAGTGTTTAGCAATAATGATTATAATTACTAACTAACTTAACAAACAAACTTGTGGTTAAATCTGAAACTGAAATATTTAGTAGGAGGTAAAAAGAATTGTTATATAACTTCCACAATACAGTTATTAATCCAATATTACTTCCTGTACAGTAACACATCATAGAAAATAACTTCCACACCTTATTCAATATAAAGACCTACAGAAATCCAAGCAGGGATAAAGTGGTTAATACATGTACATGTGTGTAGATATTACTTCCCTGTAATCATTAAGTGTCCTTAAGATATTTGATAAACTTTGATAGTTAATACTTAAACCATGACCAAACCTGTACATACATGTCAAGCTACACGATAATGTAAAGCAATACAGAGTGCTCGCACCTATTTTCTTATTCAGTTCAATATATTTGAAATAGAATATTGCTATGTTTTAAGTACATATATATTAATACCATATTTAAATTTCAGATTTAAATTTCAGTGATTTATCAACTTTACCATGCTTAGTATACATGTACATAATAAACACAAACTGCTTCAAATTTGGAATAACATGTTAGTTGATTTAAGGTTATTTATCAAAAGTTAAATCAATCTGCCAGAAGTGTAAAGTCTGGCAAGTTATTAAAACCATTAGCATTTAGAAAGTTGAGTCATTATTTCAGGTGTTAAGTTACCAATTAAGTGGGTTAAATAATTAATAAAATATCAGAGTTTAATTACCAATATTCTTAAAGTAATTAAATCATTCTAGGTCATGGGTGTTAAGAGTATTAAGTTTTAAGGACATTGTAAGTTCACATAATAAGTCTTCAAAGTGACCCCATCTCCCCCTTCGGGGGCAGGGTACTAGTATTTTAGTATCACACATATGGTTTCAATATGTTTGTTTTCCTATTACATTTTTTTTGTATCAGTCTATATAAATCAAGTGATCCCCAGGTTGGGCCAATACTAAGGGTCATGATTAATATCAGTTATGTATAGGTCCATAAGCCAATGCTTCATGTCAAGTATTTAGCTAAACGTTGGGCATTGTAATATCACATAATAATAATACTTAAATGTGTTTCCCTACATACATGTAAGTCTATATTAAGTAAGTGACCCCTGGGGTGGTGCCAATATTTGCCCAATAACCATTATTAATATGAATTTCTAGATCCTCAAACAATGCATGTGTTTCATATAGATGTCATAGCAAGGAATAAGTATCATACATGTAGGCATTCAACATAAATGTGTATGTACCTATCCCACTTTCATAAATCTGCCTTTTGCACTTAGGTTATATACTTGATTTGAAATTTTCCTTATTCAATTGATGATTTCTTAGATAAAAAATGTATAAACTAATAAATGGCCATAGGAAACTTATGTCCCTATAACATAGCAAAATTTGCATACTTATGCATACTAATGCTTTAATACCATGGTGAGTAATATATTGTCCTCACTGATTGTGATGAAATGAAAGCCCTTTACTTCCTACTTCTATTGTGAACACCCCTCCCTTCCATTCTTGATCTTTCTAGGAACCCTTAAATAATAATTGTCTCACTTTTCTGGTTTAATGGCCTTCCATGATACTGTGCCCTGTTTAAACTTTGGTTTTATGTATTTATAAGAATTCATTATTAATTGCAACATTTACTTTGTCTCTATTTCTTGGTACATTTTGTAATATCATAAGACCCCAAGGCCGGCCAATATTGACCCCACGGACATGATTAATATCACTTTTGCAGAGGTTCACAACTTCATACTACATGCTAAATATCTAAGCTCTCAGCATTGTGATTTCACAGAATAAGACTGAAATGCGTTTTCTCATACAAGACTATATCTACTATATAAGTGATGCCTGGGGAGGGGCCAATAAGCCCATGCAGGGGCATGATTAATACCAGTTTTGTTCAGGCCAAGCAGGCAATGCTACATGTCAAATTTCAAAACTCAAGACATTTTTGTTTCACCAAAGTAAGACTTAAATGTGTTTTCCTATCCAAAAATATATTAACCAAGTGACCCCTAGGGCTAGGCCAATATAGACCGGAGGGGCACGATTCATGCCAGTGATGTTACATGCCAAATACCTTAGCTCTGTGCATGGTAGTTTCACACAATAAGTCTCTGATGTGTTTTTTCCAATATGTGTATATGTAATTAGAGTCTATAGAAATGGGGCAGGGCAAAATTAATGCTGAACAAAGAGGCATAATTCATATTAGTTCATACAAGACAATGCCAGCAATGTGCTAAATATTTAAGCTTTAGTCATTGTTGTTTCACATAACCAGCTTAAATGAACATTTGGCAGATATTGAATATTGTTACAGAATGAACTCTTTTGTTCTCTTTTGTGCTGGTTGGCCCCTATCCAAATTAATTTGTGCAGACAGACATTCGGATGACCAGGTGCATATACCCAGAATGTTTTTGGGTGTATAAAAATGATAATGAATTGACCCATTTAAATAATCATAATGGCCCCATGTTCTATATCAATTTCCTTTGGTTAGATATACATTCTTTGTATTTGCTGAAAAAAGTCAGTTTTCCAGTTGGAAACTTGGTACATGTAGTTACATATAATGCACAGAATTACTTATTTTAAGGCAATTAGTTATTATATAAACATACATTTCTGTTTTAGAAAAAACATCATAATATATGTTAGTGTAAATTTAATTACTATAATTACTACTAGTAAAATAATATTGTCAACATTGTATGTATGAAGCATCTGCTTCAAGTGGCAAATAAATATGAATAACATAATAATCACTTATTTATAATATCAATCTAATTTATAACACATCACTCTGAACATTAAATAAAAATATACAATTTATACAAATGAGATTAGTACAATGATTGTGTAATTAAATAGTTCTGTTTAATTGATATTTTTCTTTCTCATTCTTCAAATTAAGTGTTATCTTAAAACAAAAATATACAAAAAAATATCCAATCTATATACATTTGTATACATTTTTCAAACAAAATAATTAAAAAACCTTTAATATTTAATTTATAAACTAATAAAGTTCAATTCAAACATGTGAACACTCCCACTTTTAGCGGGAGACTCCCACTTTCTTCAGCCATATTTCCAAAGATTTTTTCTTAAAAAAAAAAAAGGAATAATTTAATCTACGTTTTTGATGTCAGAACTTTCTTCTTAATGTTTATTGCAAATTCTAAAATCTCTTACTTGTTCATCGAAAAAAGTTCACATGTATGATAAAGTTAGGTGAATCTTCACTGAAGTGGGGCGAATCATTGCTTAATTTGGTTAAGGGGCAAATAGTCAGAAGGAGAATTGTTATATTACTGGTCCTAGCTCCCTACTTTAAATTGAAGCTACTGGTCGGGGACCATCAACCGGACACTTTTTGAACATTTTTCCATACAAATTTCATAATGTCCAACTCAGAGACCTAAAAAATTGACACAGTACAGCTAGGTTCTTCTCCTAACTAACAAACTAGTTTGTTTATTTCTGATTGTATTGACACTTATTTCTGAGGCTCGTCAAGGAGGGCATCAGAATTAACTAAATTGTCTACACTACAGTACCATGTGTCTGGATAGTTGTATTTAATTCAGATAAAAGTTTGTGTGTTTTTATTTTCAAATTTTAACATGGTATGCTATATTTCAGCAACAAATGGTGAAGTTTTGGAAATTCTGTTGTTTACTATGCAAATGATTAAAGCTGGCATATGAGGTCAGGCATTGCTTTCTTGACACCCATTATTTTAAACGTGAACATTCTTGAAATAGACATTAAAATATTACCATTTACGGAGGTTGAAATAAATTCATTTACTAAATTATAGAATAAACATGCATTTATTGTTGATAAAAAAGTGACTGACAACCACTGAACAAAGAAAATACTAAATTAAGCATTTTTGGGTCTGTCTGAGTGGAAAAGAGTCAACTCGGCCCTATACCAACTCGGCCCGGGTCAACTCGGCACGGGTCAACTCGGCCCACTTTAAAAATATATATAATTTACTAACTTTGCTTTGCTTTGAATATTGTTAAGGTAAATGAATAATGAGAAATATCTTATTATTATATACTTATACTTCTGCCGAAATAAGTACATTTAGATTTTTTTTTATTTATTTGTCTCACAGATTCGATAAAATTAATATAGATCGATCTAATAAAAATCTGTTTCCTTTGAGGCATTTTGTATGTAAAGTAATATTCAAAAAAACATGAAACAAAAACGTGTTTACTTCATATCATAATCTTCTAATTAATTGCAGGTGGTCACTAATCAAATAATCAAACTAGTCAATCATAATTATCACCTAATTAATCGTATCCTTAACATACACACTGATTGATAATAATAGCCCGTAACAATATATATTTCAACACATCGTTTGACACTGAAGGTATTTAAGTCAGAAATACATTGAGATGCGCAATCGGTTATCTTTACTCGTAATTCTACTGATAAGAAAAGCCCGTCTGCTGCTAATTCGGAAAAGTACTGTCAATAGGTGTATAATAAATAATTACAATAATTACAATAAATAGTGATAACACAAACCTAAATATTAATAATTGAAAAGTGGGCCGAGTTGACCCGTGCCGAGTTGGAATAGGGCCGAGCTGACTCGGGGGCCGAGTACGTTTTAGGGCCGAGCTGACCCGGATTCGTCTGAGTTTGGTGTATGTCCGGTTTTAGTGGGCCCCAACCAGTATGTATTTAAATCATTTCTCTGTTTCATTTATTAATAGCATTTATCAGTTTATTATATTCTACACAAGATCCTTAACATAAAGCAGTACAATTCAAACCTGTTTGACATTTACTTTGTTCAGCACCCATCACAAGACAGACATATTTGACATAGTTTTAAATCCAAAAAGATTAAGTTATAGGCCTATACTTTATTGAACTGCTCTTAATTGATTATTCACATTTAACTACTTAACCCTGTGTGATCAAGTAATAATTTTAAATGGTTTAACAATTTGATCGAATGACACAATATAAAATTGGTTATTTATAGATCCATATCATATATCAACAATAAAAGACTAACTGATGTTACCCGGGTGATTATCAAAATCGAAAGAGGAAGTAAACAGGGTGAATTTTATAAATTGTTACTCCATTGTCTACTTTCGCTTTACTCAAACTAGTCTAAGGTCTTGTAACCCGTACTGTAACCGTAAATAAAATCTTTCCGTCACCAAAACCAAACCAAAAGCGACTTTTCCAGAGGTTGTGGTCTCACCCTGGTACAGAATTTGACCCAACCCGTTGTAAAAAGTAGTTCTTTTAATTTTATGAAGTGGCACAATTAAAATAATCTCTAGTCTGGTTGTTCATAATTAAAGTGTATTTATTGCATCTGTGTAGCTTTTGTGTGTTATAGGACGACTTTAAAAGTTGTTTAATGTGTATTTTCCAGGAACTCATTTGTTGGCGGAAGGGTTAAAGATTTACTACCCTCCAACAGCTAGGAGTTTTCAAAGTGGTGAATTTAAACAGTGAACATTTCTAAAGAAAAGTAGATGCATAAGTAACATAATTATTATATTTCGGGCCTCATTTGACTTAGATAGTGTTGATGTTTAAAGTTGAAGACAATATAATTCATCAAGAACGTTGGAATCAAGAATGAAGCCTCAAATGTAAGGTTAAACCCGTTCCAATTTACTATACTCACAAGAACTTGAAATTCTATCAATATTAATGATAATATCCAAAATATACCCCTATACAGTATAAATTTATACTGTATATGGGTATATTTTGGATATTATCATAAATATTGATAGACTTTCAAGTTCCTGTGCTATACTGTAGAACTACAGGACCTTGAAATTCTATCAATAAATGCCCTAAAGTCCAATATCCCCCCAAAAAATCCAAAAATCCAGATAAAAAAAAACATAATTATATAGGTATGGATTTTTTTTGGGAATTGGAATTAGGGCGATTATTGATAGAATTTCAATTAAGGTCCTGTGGTAGAGTACGAAAATTCACCAGACCGACACCTTGTGGACAAAAGACAGACGAAATATTTTTATACATATATGTATCATTTCATTGCAACCATTTTTTTTCAAGCATTATTAAATCAAGATTGGTATTCTTCTCAAAGCAGTGACAGGGTACTGTTCTTCCTTTGTGATTTGTTATTCAATCAGCTAACGTTGAAAGTTTGATAAGTTTTAATATGGCAACGCGTAATCTCGGGACAGTATAATAATAATAATAACAACAACAACCCAATGTGTATACGTGTATGTGTATTTGTCTTAAATTAACACATGTTCAACTCAATCTCAATAATTTTTGTTCAGTTCATAAGGCTTAGTTTAAACATATGTTACATACAGTACATAATATAATTTAATTCCATGATTTATATAAAAAAAAATGTTTTATATCATTTGATTGGAATAAACAGAATCATTCGGAACTGCTTCGGCTATAATCTGTAATAACCTCGGAAACAATACGGATTGAAAGTAGGTCTACCACGTGGTTTCAGATGTAAACAGAAACAGAGATAATGTAAAACGAATGTATATGTTTGGGGTGGGGGGGAAAATCCCGGGATCCGGGACGCCCGGGATCCGGGATCGTATTAGATATATAGGGAAAACTCATAAACTATATTTGTGTTTATTTTTGTCGTAATGAGAGGCGATTAAATGTTAACTATTTATTTCTTTAATTGTATGTAATGAACAGTAAATGAATTTTACTTAAAATTTAAATATATTTCGAGTTATTTATTAACACACTTAAAATGCGGAAATCACATTACTTGTATAATTACAGTATAGTATACTTGGAAATATCAAAGTTTTTGTTAATACAATATTTGGCTTAATTTTATGTTCATGTATTTAAATATTATTTTTAGAAAAGATCAGAAGATATACTTAACATAATTGATAACAAAAAAAAAACTTTGACGTGTATGACAGGTGGTCAATTCCCGGGATCTCTGTACTGTTTAATAGATCCCGGCTTTTCTGAAAGCAAGATGGTAATGGTCAATTTCCCGGGATATATATATCTTATACGATCCCGGCTTTTCTTAATGCGATTATCCGGGATCTCTTATCTCTAATAAGGAAAATCAACTATTTTTCGTGACCATTATGGTAGAGTATTTATACATTATTGTAAATACAAGTTCGACTTAATTGGCATGCTTATTTTACCTAAAATGCGTGTAAAATACTATATAAAAATGCTGATTTATCTGCAAATTAACAAATGTCTTGTTGTTTTTCTAATGATATATACTATACCAGAAGGCTTTCACGTTGAAGAAAAAAAAGAAAGAATACAAATGTAAAACATAAGGTATATATTACAGATGTTTAACAAGTAATCAAGTTCCATGGATCGTATAAAAATAACATGTTTCACTTATAAACAGATATGAATGTCTAAAATGAATATTTTTTAAAAAGAACAAATTATTTGTCAATTTTTAATATAGAATGAAAAAGAACTGTAGCGGACCTCATTTTCCTTAAACAATATGTCCAGTACAGGACCCAAAACGTATCGTCCCTGGTGTTAATTAACATTGGTGTATTAAAGGTGTTTAGTGACACTTCCGACTATGGCCAATAGACCGAATGATAATTTACTCTTATCTGTACGTCTAATACGATCCCGGTTTTTCTGAAAACTATATTCTTGAACTGGTCATTACCCGGGATCCCTATGTGTTTTTATACGATCCCGGCTTATCTGAAAAATATCTTCTTTGACTGGTCAATTCCCGGGATCCCTATATGTTTAATACGATCCCGGCTTATCTGAAAAATATATTCTTGGACTGGTCAATTCCCGGGATCCCTATATGTTTTAATAGGATCCCGGCTTTTCTGGCTGCGGTTCGTGTGACATTGAAAATAGTTAATTCACGTTACATAACTTGATGAAATTTATATGTGCAAGATCATGGTAAATGAAAAATATAATGATGAAGCAATTAAAAAATTCAACACCCTTAATTCGAATTTTTAATAGCTATTGCATTAAAGATTTAATTATACTTAAAATTTATATTTTATAATACTGATAATTTCTCTTTCTGAATGTAAAATAAACATATTTTAGTGCACACATGTAAGATATATTATCTTTACACGCGATATAAGTAAACACAGTGTGAAAACACGGTCCATAAAAAGGCAATTGTAAAAAAAAAGACCAAATAACTTGACACTGTAAAATGCTTTGGCCAATAAAAACAAGTTTGAGTCTTGCAACATAAAAAATATTGTGTCACAAAGCGAATTAATTGAGAAAAGATAAAAAGGCATTATCATAAAATTATACTTCACGCCAGATTAATGCACTGCATATAATTTATCAAAGGTACAATGAATTATATTGTGATATTTTCAACTTAATATTTTTATATTTTTCATATTCTGCTTATTAGATAATGTAATTTTGATTTTATATACCCATGTTATGCAAATATTCGTAACCTTTATATTAAAAGATATTATTTTGTTAACCCAAGTATGTACAAATTTATTGCATTGGTGCGAAGTAATAATAGAAATGAACTATGTAAATTAGCATTTTAATACAAAAATGGTATGACTGTTAGAACTTCACTAGTAAACAATGTTCAATGATAGATCAAAAATTTTTATTTTAAAGTTTTGATATTGATTTTCTTCCTTAAATATGTTCATAAAAAAGGCTTAATAACAATCAACGTAAGTTTTCATTACAATTATTGATTTCTCTTTATACTATTAATATCATGATTTCTTTACATTGATTTGCACTGAAAGTACATGCTACTTGAATATATTATTATGTATGTGATTAAATCCGAAATAAAAGTTCTGTTCTGTTTTGTGTTTGTTCAAAATTAACTAGCTACTTCTACCTTACTGATATATGATTTAGATACATGTATATTATCATAGAATTAATTGATTGCCAACTTGTATTGACCTTCGTTATATACCCATTATTATATATATTAAACTATGCCGCATGCCTATCAATAATAATTCCCCCTATATTATAATAACTTGATTTATTAGTGATGACGATAATGGTGATGACGACGATGATGATTGTGATGATAGACACTGCTTGTCTAAAACGATCCCGGCTTTTATAAATGTGATCCAGCTTGGATCTCTATATATCTAATACAATCCCGGCTTTTCTAAATGTGATATGGTAGTGGTCAAATCCCGGGATCTCTATATATCTAATACGATCCCGGCTTTTCTGAATGTAATTTGGCAGACGGTCAATTCCCGGTATCTCTCTTTGTTAAATACGATCCCGGCTTTTCTGAATGTGACATGGCAGTGGTCAAATCCCGGGATCTCTATATATCTAATACGATCCCGGCTTTTCTGAATGTAATTTGGCAGACGGTCAATTCCCGATATCTCTCTTTGTTAAATACGATCCCGGCTTTTCTGAATGTGACATGGCAGTGGTCAAATCCCGGGATCTCTATATATCTAATACAATCCCGGCTTTTCTAAATGTGATATGGCAGACGGTCAATTCCCGGTATCTCTCTTTGTTAAATACGATCCCGGCTTTTCTGAATGTGACATGGCAGTGGTCAAATCCCGGGATCTCTATATATCTAATACGATCCCGGCTTTTTCTGAATGTAATTTGGCAGACGGTCAATTCCCGATATCTCTCTTTGTTAAATACGATCCCGGCTTTTCTTAATGTGACATGACAGTGGTCAAATCCCGGGATCTCTATATATCTAATACAATCCCGGCTTTTCTAAATGTGATATGGCAGACGGTCAATTCCCGGTATCTCTCTTTGTTAAATACGATCCCGGCTTTTTCTGAATATGACACGGCAGTGGTCAAATCCCGGGATCTCTATATATCTAATACAATCCCGGCTTTTCTAAATGTGATATGGTAGATCAAAGATATTCTAAAAATATTGTTCAAGTATCGTAAT